CATCAGTTAAGATAATAAAAAACAAGTTGTTTTATCAAACTGATGTATATTCTTTGAGATGAAGCTGTGACTAGAACTTTTCAAGTAATTTTTTCGGTTTAAGCTTTCCCTAGAGACATGATTGTAGACGTGATCATAGTGTGAATATTAATTGAAGAATGCACTTTTACACGGTGTCCGACTGTTTTTCATTGTAGATTGCTCATCGAAATCTGCCGGATAACTTACACTTGTATACGGTTGTAGAATATTAAAAGTTTTTGATTCAAAAAAATTCGTTCGTGATGCAAAAATACGAAGGTCGACAAGTAGTCGACGTTCTCAAGGATTTATGCGCATACAATCCAACAGCCGCTAAGGACTTAGATCGTTTACCACATGATTGTTACATGATAGAAGTAGGTGGTTTAACACAGAAGAAAGATTTGGAAAATTTAGAAAATTTGAAGGAAAGTATGACACAGTCAAATGAGTCATTATACTCAGATGAAGATCAAGGCGAATATACATTAATGAACTCAGAAGAACTGGAATTCATATTGGAGAAAATGGAATTAGCAGGAAGTACGCAACAATTAGAAAATGAAAGACAAAGTCATTATGTCTTCGAAGATAATTTCAACGCGTCGTTGCAGGACATGATTAAATCAAAAGCCTCCTACGAACGGCTCAAAAAAGTCTGCTATCGATATGAGAATCGTGAGGGGGAAAACGTTGATTCCAACATGATTAATCACGAGAAACGTGTTCAGTCATCGTACAAGCATTTTCTGGACAAAAATGTTCCAGTGGATGAAGCAAAAGCTATGGCTTTCGCACTCTCGTTTTATACTGGTCCGAAAAGTGAATCATGCAGTCGTGCAGGTAGTCTTGTTGCTCGAAAAGGTAACTTTCAAACTTTTGAAAAACAAACAGATGATGAATTAAACGAAGCATCCATCATTCTATATTATATGGTCAAGGCACTATCGTATATACCTTTCTACTGGGGCTATGTTACCCGGGCTTGTCAACTTAAGTTCGATGAATTGACTATGTATCAACCGGGTCGAGTAGTTACTTGGATTCAGTTTAGTAGCTCCAAAAAAGGAAAAAAAGGACATGATTCAGCAGCTTTCAAAGACCGGAATACGCTCTTCAAAATATACTCACTCACAGGTCGTCCAATCAAGAAGTTTTCAAATTACGAAGAAGAAGATGAAGTTCTATTTCTGCCACATTCTACATTTATTGTTTTTAATCGTACAATTTATAAAAAGGAAGGAAAACAGGTGATTTATATGCGACAAGTAGAATTAGGTTTTTGTAAATGGTCGGTATTGTGGGTCGACGATCGCATATTCGACGAACAGTGGGAGAATAAAAAGCATATGGAATATGCAGCAGTTAGAGCACTCGATGTCAACGTACACTTTATCCCCAAATCGTCTACTAATAATGCTTTGTCTTTTCTTCGCTCTCCATTCGGACAACGTTTGAAGAACAAAGATACATTTAGAATTGTTACTGATATGAATCGCGAAAATGAATCCCCCACACATAATGCAGGCGCACGATTGATTAAAGCAGTACGAAAGTTGGGCTTCAAAAACCAATGTTTGATCTTTACTAGTGATAAAGAGAATGCAGAAGATATTCTGCACGCAGAATTATCTTCAAAGGAATTACAAGGTGTTTTTGTATCCGTTCATACTAAAGACTTACGAAATTTCGTAAATTTTGATCAAACACCAACACCTGCGCAACAATCCAATATAGAAAATCCAGCGAAACACAGTTCATTTTCAAATTCAATAAATTCGAGTAAATTAAAAAAATACTTTTCATCAGACATAATTTCTCTGATTTTTTTCGTAAAAAAGTTAACTACTTGAAAACTTTTGACAATTGACTAGCGTCTATTTCAACATTTGGAGCTACATAGTACGACTCAGGAACATTCTTATTAGTATTTTATAGAAGTTGTTTTCATTATAATGAACATGTAGACATCGAGATACGCTTTTGTGTAAATTTTAGTTCACTAGAATAAGAGGGCAGTATGATGATCGAACTAAACTTTTTTTCTTTTGCTTACTATAGAAAACAATACAAGTGGCTATGGAGCTAGTGCTAGTGCTCAAGCAAATCAAAGTGCTCATGGATACAAACACGCTAAAAGTCATGCATACACAGACAATGAAATGATGCACAATTCGAGAAATACAGATATCGATATATTATTGAAAAATTGTCAAATGAGAAATTTGATTAATAGTCGGCAGAAGTATGTTTTTTTTCACATAGAACTTATAGTTAATATGGAAACAAAATGCTTGAATATCGATATTAAAAACCCACTTTTTTTAAATACTAGAATCTTTTGTTGTGAAATATTACTTATATAGCTTTAGTGTAACACTAGAACAATCTAAATAGAAAAATTTGTTTTTCATCAACTCAGAATACAATGCCGACTATTAGAAAGTTGAAGGCACGAATGGGAATTTAAAGAAATACAGATAGAAACAAACAAATGGATATCTAAATCTAATAAACAATACGATGAGTATGACAATGATGATCATATTATAAAACGGATAAAGCTATATATTAATAAATTCGATTCTCAGAGTTTTCACTCAACTACATTTTTAGTCTTCAGTTTTATAATTATTTATTTACAGTTGTGTTCTGATTACAACCGGCTCTTTCAATCCTGTTCATCCTTTCCATTTCCAAAATCTGTTACGTGTCAAAGAATACCTAGAACATGAACATCAGCCACCGATGAACGTAGTCGCCGGATATATATCGCCAACACAGTACGTTGATTTTTTTTCATCGATGCTCCGCGTATTCATCATATGATATTATTTTTTATAGCGATTCCTATGTTCATTCAAAACTAGGCGATCCTGCATGGATTCCAGTAACAGATCGATGTCGTCTATGTGAGGAAGCTGTCGAATATGAAGGTTCAAAAGTATCGTCATGGATTGCTGTTTCCCGGGGTGAAAGTGAATGGAAAGATGGCTTTGTTGATTTTGGTCCAGTTACAGAAAATCTTCGTGATTATCTAAATTCAACACTCGTTGAACAAGAAAACATTTTGAAATATCCACTGCGTATAATTTATGTGTGTGGATTAGATCACTACAATAAATGTTCATATGTAGAACGTATGGCTCAACAAAATAACATGTCTTGTGCTATTATTTTTCGTCAAGGATATGATGAGCAACAAATTAATCGTTCTCTTAAGACAGCAAATGTTATATACATTTCATTATCGAAGGAGCGTACTAGACTTCCTGATGTAAGCTCAACACAAATTCGTCAATATTTCGAAAATCCAAACCCTAAAAATATGGATATTGAGAAATATATGTATCCTTCAGTACGTGATTATATGAAAAGAAAATATAGAAAGAAGTAATTTGCTTCACAATAGACGTTTTATAGCGATGCCTACAACTCTGCTTTTAGTCGCGTTTTCTTCGAAATTTATTTTGTCATCTTAATCACATTTAATTAATAAAATAATGATTTGGAATTATTGCGTTTGATTGACAAGATTGACCTAGGAGACATACCAACTTCAATGAATCGTTTCCTAGTAGGTTACGTTTCTTCATTATTTTATTTGATTGATATAATAATATCAACAACAAATAATAACAATACACTTATATATAAAGATATGACTAAAATCTATCAAGATGAGAGTCTGATGAAAAGGTAGCACACATCCTCAAAATTGTAATTTACAGCTTTGAGACAATTTAGCTCGATTAACATAATCACCGACTCGATACTTGGATAAACGAAAATCATCACTATACACATTCTTTTTCACCTGAGCATTAATTAAGGTGTTCGCACTTATATTTCATCATTATAATTACTTTGATTAGTCAAGCTGAAAAATTTCAATAAGTTGAACTTATCGACGTACAGAAATTCATATATAAAAATAAAAAACTCATTGTCTTCGGAGAAATTCGATAGTCTAAAGTTGAAGAAGATTGAATAGGAAAAGAAAAATATACTTCGTGTATGCGTATACATACATGAAAATATAATTGAAACAAATTCGTTATGCCGTGGCATGAGGACGACAGAGAGGCCAGCATACATTTTGAAGTGCTTCCTTAATGGTGTATGAGTATAAATAGTAATAGTAATAAAGGTAAGAAACTAAATCATTTTTTACTGGTAAATACAGCTAAAGCTTAATAGATGTCAAAAAAAGTTTTTTAATTTTTTAGTTTTATGTTTTTTCTTAATTTATTTTCCTTCGGTTTACAACATAAGTGGTATTTAGGTAATTATTATATCAGTTGTCATTATCGGACTAAAACTCTAAAATGAAAAGTATATTTTCGGATTCTCAATTTATTTGGTCTTAGTTTAAATTCATTTTTTGATGTTGCTTATCAGACTCAACCTGATATTGTCTCATTACCACTAGATATTTCTATAACTTCACATACCATTGTTACACTACTACCTGTTAATACTTAAACATCATCTAATGTTTTTTAATAACGAACTAATGTTTTCAGTTCATACTTGATGTTACCTAACTATTAACTAATGCTCTTTCACCACGACCACCTATTATTGATAATGCTTTAAATAATAATGTAATTATAAATAAATTAATTGTTACTGAAAGGTAAAATCGGATATAACAAAAACTCAATCATTTAGTCGAGGGTACAGCCGTTCAAATCCACTAGCATTACTTGTTACTCATTATTTATTTATTATTATCAATAATAGATAAAGCGATATCCGTATACCGTACTTCAATAGGTCTAAAGTATGCATTGTTTCATTTGTCTTTAAGCGATACGCTTTACTTTTTCTTTTAAGACAAATAAAGTTTCTCAATGTTAACACATCACTAATACATCTTCACACATGAAAGCAATATACTAAATTAACATAAGTCATACTTTTCGAAATTGTTGTTCAATCAACACATGTTAGTGTAAATTCTATCATATCAATAACTTCTTCTCACCAGGTTAAATCATAATAGCTAGATTTTATTTTGCTGACAGTTACATTAATTTTTTAACGACTTCAAATTGTTCTTCTTAAAAGTTTTTATATATGTTATCGAGACATTCAAAGTAATTACAAGTAAAGATTATTTATATATATAACAAAAAATATATCTAGTGAAGAAACAAATAAAAAACGTCTCACCATTTAATGACTCAGTCACCTTTCTTTTCATTCCAACTTCTACGAATGTTATCTTATTTATGTCCACTTCTTTTTTGTTAGCTTGTATATCATCTGAGTACAGCAATATGTCATTTTTTATTTGTCACATGTTATTATTATTCGTTGCTCTGATAGCTAACACTCATCAAAGTTCTGATATTTGTGTTCTTAGTGATAATCATCCAGGTTTGTTGGAGGAAACGTATTAATCAAAAAAAAAATATTCTTTGCATTTAAACAGGCACAAGATGTTATGAATCTGATCATATTAACTATACATGTTGTCTTCGTATGTAACATAACTATTTAAATTAATATTGATAATTTTGTCTTTATAGACACTGATCATTGTCAAGATGGTAAATGTTCTCCATTGGGTATAACTGCACCTTCAAAATTATTATCAACTGCAGATTTTATATTTATTGGTATTGGTGCAGCTTTTTGTGGTGTTCTCTGTTTGACCATTGCTGCTATACATTACCATCGTAGACAAATAACTAATACACAGAAAAGACCGAATTCATTTGCATCATTTTCTACACCTTTCAATGTTTCACCACGAGCAATGAGTTCAGCTGGTGTTCGAATACATTCATCAATTAACATGGAATTAACCACAATTAATATATAATAAAAGTTAGAAATAAATTACTAATCGATAATATGAATTGTCTTATACATGTGACTGATATGTAAACTAAGTGATGAATGTTTTTGTTATTTTTTTTCTATTTGCATACAAACAGAACAAAAAAAAACGATTTTGTATGGTTTAAATTGATTGCTGCTTCTACTTTTCTTCTCTTTCTGTCTTTAACTATTAATAATAAAAAAAAAAAAGAAAACCAGTTCGACATTTGTCAATTACGGTTACTATGAGCACTGTTGGAATGGCAGCTAATAAAACTAGACCTTCGCGTACAACAAACGAATCTGCAATTTATTCATCACAAGAGGAACAACGTAATGCAAATAATCTCGAACGTTATCGTCAATTATCAGCAAAAGTCGAACGATGTATGCAAGAATTAGTTGAACGTATATATGAAAAAAATCCAACTTTAAATTTTGAATTACTTGCTCCACCACCAGCACATTTAGCATCTTCTTCACCAAATGATAATAAAGAATATTTTTTTGATTTTTATCTCGTATGGAAAAATCCTGGTAAAATTCAAGTTGAAAGAGATGCATCATCAGTATGTTGTAAAATAAAATATCTTAATCGTTCAATGTTACGATCACGTGCTGAACAAGATCGTTTATTAATATCGAATATTGATAAGAAGAAATTTTCATATTTAAATGGACGTGGTTTACGTGATTTATTTTTTGAAACACTTCATACTATATCTCCAGATTTAGTACGTATTGATTTCATTGAATATCTTATCTATTTTGATTTAATTATACCTGCGGGAAAAGAAAAAACTACATGTCATGTAACATTACTTCCTTGTATACATTTACGTGAAGAAAATGAAGTTTTATTACCATTTGGTACACTACGATGGTATCCAAGATCACTTATATCTTCAAACGAAAATAATTTATTTAATTGTCTACAACAACCATTACAAAATGTATCTATTCGTCGTTATATGTCAACAACTGATAATGCTGATACATCAGCAAAATATACTCGACAAGATCAACAAGCATTCGCACGTATGCGTACTATTATACATGAATTATTATCTTCATATATGTTAGAACATATTGATAATATGGACCAAATTCGTCTACCATTTGATGATGATTTTGATGAAACAAAGAAAATTTTCTTTTTACCACATGAAACAGATCGAAATTGTAATGTATTTCCAGCTGGACAATATCTATTAGATGATCTCAAAGCGAAACGATTTTTTAAAAGAGTTTTACAAACAAATATAAAAATTCCAACTAATATACCAGTACCCGTACCAATACCAATTCCAATAGATAATAATGATGTAAAAGTTTGATAGTTTTTTATAAACATTATTTAAATGTATTTGATGAATAAATTTTGTAAAGAAATATCTTAGTTTATATTTAATCTTCAGATGTATCTAACGAAAGGCGACATCTTATGACGAAGAAGTATTTATAGATTTTCTTTTTAAGCTCAATAATATGAAAAGAAATACAATTTTAATTATTTAATCAACAAAATTTTTTCATTTTCTTCCTGCTTTCTCGAAATAGAAACGGAGGTTATATTAAGTTCTTCATGGCCGACGATTGGTCAGGTCAAACGGCCATATCAAATCAATCAGATCGTTAGTCAGATGACCATATTAATTTAATCCTAATTCAAATTGTTTACATTATAATACATAAATATATATCTATATTTGTATTCTATATTTTTCAGACCTTTTTCGTCGTTGTTTCCCATCATCTACGACCAACAATGGAACACGTATGATGAAAAAAAAACAAAAATTTAATTCTAGTATTTTTCAAACTATTCTTATTTTAGGAACGTTCTTTTCAAAAACAACCAACTATTTTTTTAAATAGAAAACAAGCTGTCGTTAAAGCTAGCAAAACAGGTCGTGCAGAACGTTATACACGTAATGTCGGCTTAGGTTTCAAAACACCACGCGAAGTAAATAAATAAATACATAATTTTATCTAACATATATATATATATATTGTTTTCATTTCTAGGCTATTGAAGGTACATATATTGATAAAAAATGTCCATTTACAGGCAATGTAAGCATTCGTGGTCGTATTCTTACTGGTACAGTTATGAAACTTAAAATGACACGTACAATTGTTATTCGTCGAGATTATTTACATTATGTACGAAAATATAATCGTTTTGAAAAACGTCATAAGAACATGTCTGTACATTTGAGCCCATGCTTCCGGTATAAAATTATAATTTGATATAAGACTTTTTCAAATTATCTATTATATTTATTTTAGTGATGTACAAATCGGTGATGTTGTTACAATTGGCGAATGCCGTCCATTATGTAAAACAGTTCGATTTAACGTACTCAAGGTTACAAAAGCAGCTGGTTCAAAAAAACAATTCCAAAAATTCTAAAACTAAAATCGACAAAATTAATCACATAACAGCGACGAACATAGTGTTATTTTCTTCTTGTTTTGTTTTGCTGTCTTTTGTGATTGTTCATGTCTCATGATGAGAATAAGAATAATAAAAAAAAAACCGTTAACATCAACTTAAGAAACAGTAGTTTTTCTAAAAAAGTTAATATTATTTTCTCTTTTTAGATTATTACTATTTAGTATAATAAGAAGAAGCTTATGAAGACATTATAATTATTTTTTTAAATTTTCAAAGCATTTAATCGTTCGAGACAGTTGCTTTTTTCTCCCTCTCTTCATTTTTTTTGCATCATATGCGTTGTTTTTTATTCTCTCTTTCTTTCCTCTCTCTCACTTACACAACACTAAATGCATTTTGTGTCAGAGCGCGTGCCTCCCACTTATATTACTCATTCTTTTTTCGATGTGTCTGTCTGACTATGATTTCATAAGCTATTGCATATAAATAGAAGTAACGTTTTAGATATTCATTTCTTCAATTTTTTATTCGAATTAATCATGGCGTCTGATCAAAATGATACAAGTACTAATGAGAATAAACAACTTCCTATTGAAGTAAACGATTGGAATGGATTAAATCAACAAGCTCAACTTTTATGCCAAGGTTCTGATAAAAATGTAAAAATATGTTTAATTGATGAAGAACAAGAAGAAATCCGTTTACAAAATCAAGATGAATTCGATTTAAATGTTCAAGTAATATATCTATTTCATTCTTTGTTTCTACAAAATACTAACACTAGTAATAATTTTTTTAGTATGCTCGAGATCATGAAATTAAATCATTAACATTCGTTGTTTATATTGATAATAAACATGTCTTTAATGGAATATATAATATTGAAAAACCAACAGAAAAATTGGCTTTTCCTACTGATAAATTACAAATGCTTATAGATAATGTTCTTGTTGAAAAATGGTATATACCAGTCAAACAAGATGAACCATTCGGTGTTTGCCTTAGCGCAGCAATCGATTTAGCTCAAAATGGTATTTTTTTAATAAAATAAAACAAATCTGTTATTTTGTTTTTGTATTCTCTAAGGTAAACTTGATACAAATCCTGATTGTAAACAATTTATTGAAACTATTATTCCAGAAGCATTACGAAAAGTATAGAAATTATATCAAAAATTTTCTTTCTTTTTCTCAACTCTATCTTTTAGTTACAAAATAGTGAATCAGTTTTTTCATGGCCACGTGAAATTCAATGTGGAATATTTGAAATAATTGAATTATTCGTTGATTTAGTTGGTACACGTATTTGTTATCCACCTATACCTATTACATTATTAAAAACACTTGCTATGGTTAGTTAATAAAACAATTTTCTTTTGAACAAAAATCTAAAAATTATATTTTAGACATTTGATACAGATATGAAATTTTCTCAAAAACATAAAAATGAATTATTACCACCACGACGTTCATATACATTAAAAGATGAAGATTTCTTACGTGAAGATTTCGATAAGGAAACATTTGGTTGGCTTCGATCGATTATTCAACGCGTAAATTTTCTTTTTTTTTCTACTATAAAATCTTAAATTAATTTCTTAATAGTTCATTGCACAAAATGGTTTAAAAAATATTCGTTTACAATTTGAATATATTGATTCTTCAAATTCAACAACAACTACAATGGTCTGTTAATTAATTTAGTTGTTTTGTTTTGTAAATATTTTAATTCTAGGAATATACTGCATTACTTAAAGTATTTGCTAAATGTAATAAATGTATAAATACGAATCGTTTTCGTTTAATTTTTCATCGACCAATTCGTCAAGCAATTCAATATCTTCAAAAACAAAATGCTTCTAATGAAGAGAATAATGAAGTCAGTATTAAAATTATTATTATTATTTTATAGAATTTTTTTTCTAGTTAAAAGAATTAAATGAAACATTAATGGATATTTGTTATAAATATGAATTAAAAGATGAAATTAAAAATTTACTTGCATTACCATATAATTCAACTATATATGAAATATCTTCATCATCTGTTGAAAGTTGTTCTGAAACAACACCACTTATTGAGGTACCAATATCAGTTCAAAGGAAAACTAAAAATCAGGATTGTTATGAAAGACTTGCGGAAGATATTCGATCAATGACGATGAATAATGGTGATGGAGAACGAAAAGTACATATTTTCTTTTGAAAAAAATTTATTTCTATTTGCATTTTTTTTCTTTGTAGAATATTAAAAAACAACGAACAGATGAACAAATACCATCATCATTATTTACTCGTAATAGTATTATGGAATGTATTGATGTAAGAAATATTAATTCGAAGAAAACAAAAATTAGAATAATATTTTTCTTTATTTAGGATTTATTAACTACAACTGATAAGCGTTCACTTAAACGAAAACATCGTCGTGAACAACAACGTTCAACATTATTATCGACGAATAATGGTCATATTAATAAAAAAGAAAGTAAACGATCAAATACAATTACAATTGCAACAACTAAAAATTATGATCGGTAAATAAAACATAATCGATTTATTTCAAAAATTTTAATGATTTTATATTAGATCAAATCCGGAAGATATTCTTCGTTATTTCGCACCAATGAAATTAAAAATTGCTACACTTTATGATAATCTTCATACACTTACATGTCAGGGTAATCTACGTGAAGTATTGAAAATTGAAGAAAAACTCAAAATACTTCGGTAAATTCATCTATATAATTAGTAAAGTATCAATATCTTATTCTTTTAGTCCATTTTCTGCTCGATTTATTGCTGATGAAAATACACCCGATGGAACATTAATGCAATCAGGACAAGTATTTCGTAAAGGATGGATTCTTCTTAATGATGGTTCATTACCATGGGATAGTAATGATATTCAATTAATTAATTTATCCGATGGTATTCAAGTTCTTCAACAACCAATTGTACCAATAACAGCACCACATGCACGAGCTGTTATAAATATTGATTTTATGTGTCCAAATAAATCTGGAACATATGAAAGTAAATGGATACTTGCTTATCGTCAACAAACATTTGGTCCAATGATTTGGTGTTCAATTGAAGTTAATCAAGCATCAGTTGCTAGTGAAAATAAAATTGGTAAGAATTTTGATGAATAAATTTGATAATATTTATCATTCTGATTTTGTAGAACCAATCATCGATGATAATGAATTTGAATTTATTGAAGTACCATTACCAGCATGTTTTGATTTATCAAAACCTTATCAATCATTAATGAAAACATCAAGTGATAGTTCACTTAATGTATGTTTGATTAATTGATTAAGATTTTTTTTGTAGAAAATCTTTCTTTTTTTAGTTAGATTTTGTTTTACCATGTATTGATTCAACTGAATTATTAGCAACAGATTTCAGTACAGTTAATAGTAAGATAGATTTTTTTTTATTCTTATTTATTTACTTTTTTTTCTATCTTTATTAGTTGATAATCTTCAAAGTTCATATGCTAGCGATAGTGATAGCTTTTCAACATTTACATGTTCATCTTCAATGCCATCTTTAGTAGAAAATCAAATTAATAAAACACTTCTTCCAACAGATTCAACTTCAGAAGATCCAACACCATTAATTGAATTAGCACCACCAACAGAAACTCAAATAACAACACCTATAATTTCTGTTGATACTAATAATGATGAACGTCAATCAGCACGATTAAAGTATAGAAATTATTTGAAATTATTTTTCTAATTCTCGAATTTCATTTTAGTCAATCGTTGGATTTTGTTGATACAGTTGTTACAAATATTTTCAGTGTTGCTAAACAAGCTGGCTCAACAGCAAAAGCTATTTTTAACACATTACAAGCATATGATGAAGTATGAAAGATGAAAAAAATAAAGATGTGCTTAATAAAATAATATTTTACTTTTAGCCTATTCCTTCTACAACAACAACAACAACAACTGTTCAAGACCAACAACCAACATTAGTCAATACATTTAATAAAACTTCAATAAATACAAACGGATTATTTGAACATATTAATAGCACACAAACAATACGTACAAATTCATTTCCTTCAGATGATCAAATAAAAACATTAATTGAAATGGGATTTGCTAATCGAGCTAAAAATCAACGTTTACTTAGAGAAAATGCTAATGATTTAGCTAAAGTCATCGAATTACTAACATTGGAAACTAATGATGAGGTTGATTGGTTTATTCATCGTCATTAAAAAGTTCATACAACGAACTTCTCTTTCTTTTTTTTTCTGTACCATTATGTAAAAAGCTTTAGTAGTTTTTCTTATTTCGTCTAATCTAGCTTCTCATTTCTGAAAACTGTATATTATTTCTTTTTTTTTCTTCTAATTATTATAAATAAGTGATTGTTTTCTATCTCGTTGACTACAATGTACAAAATTTTCATTCTGTTATTCTTATTCTTATTCTTATTATCTGTTTAGTTGGACATACAAAAAAAACAACAAAATAATCTTGAAACTTAGATATCATGTGTGTGTGTGCGTTTGTGTGTGCCATAATCATTTTCAACAATAAATTGCAGTTTTTTCTTTCTTTACATTCTTTAAAATTAATACCAATGATTAGAAGAAAGAGATAATGGAATTTGAGAAAAGAAGAACAAAAAAAAACAGTCATTTCAAGTACATTTATTCTTATTCTAGATCGAAATTTTTCTTGTTGGTATTTAAAACATGTGAGTTTCATTTAATGTTGTCTCGCATAAGATTTTTTCTAAAATCTCTAGGTTACGCCATAAATCTATTCTTGAAACATATGGTTTAGTATCTAATGAAGAATCATCATTGAATGAAAATGAACGTACAAATTCTGATACGCCCTATCCACCTGTACGACAACGTACTGAAAGAGAACGACCACGATCAATTCGATTAAAACCACAAGAATATCTATTAATTGCTATTGCAATATTAGCCATATTATCTCTAGTCATTTATAATATTTTTCAATATTTTTTACCCAATGAATAACATCATAGAAATGAATTTATTTTATTACGAGACATCATTGCATGTGAAGAATATTTTTATTATTCTGCATATACTTCTAGAGTCTCAAAATTAAACATAACAATGAATAAGGAGATTTACAAAATACTTTTGTTTTTGAAATTTTCTCGGCATTCATACAAAATAAAACTATATATTTTTCTTTTTTTTATAGATTGTTGAATCATTACACCTCCGTTTGGTGATAATGCAAAATGTAATTATATCTATGTATTGGACATAGACATAAAGCATTTCTTTGTCAAATATTTATATTCATGGATATAGAAAATAATATGTCCACAAAAAGAAAACATGAAGATGATGATGATTTAGTAACAACAGTAATTGAAAGTTAGTTTTCGTTTATATAAAAAGAATTTTTTCTTTATAAATTTGAATTCAATTTAGCTAAGAATGAACAAACATCAATAAAAAAACAGAGAAAGCAAAAAAAAAATGTTCGTTTTGATGATGTAACTGTTTATTATTTTGCTCGTAGTCAAGGTTTTGTAAGTGTACCAAGTCAAGGAACAATTACTCTTGGTATGGTTCCTGAACATTCACATGTTGAACAGTATTCTGTTGCCGATTTCTCACGTGTTCGTCGTGCATTACATAAATCTATATTACGTGAAAGAAAATTACTTCCACCATCTTCAACTATTGAAAGTGATAATGATGAAGATGAACCTCTTCCAGTTGATGATTATTATTTTGTTCAACCAATAGCTACACGACAACGTCGTACATTATTAAAACAAGCTGGTCTTGTTAAAATTGATACAACGGAAAAACATGAATTAACATTAATAAGACGTTCACGTGAAGTATGTGGTTGTTCATGTACGCGTGAAACAGGTGGTTGTCAACCATCAACATGTGAATGTTATCTTAATGGTATTGCATGTCAAGTTGATCGTTTAACATTTCCATGTCCATGTGCTACAATGCTTTGTAAAAATCCATTAGGAAGACTTGAATTTAATCAAAATCGTGTACGAAATCATTTTTTTGAAACAATTACAAGATTAGAAGCCGAAAAAACTCAAGAACAAATTGGTAAGATTTAAATTTATTTTTCTATATTCAATTAATTTTTAAATTTATTCTATAGAACAACAAAATAATTCAGATATTAATTCTATTGTAACATCAATTTTATCATTGATTATATCACAAATTGAAATTGAAGAATATGAAATTGCATCTATACTACATTCAGTTATTTCATCAGTTGAAGAACCTATAAGGATAACAGAAGAATTTTCATCAATTTTACCAATTGTTCAATCTTCTAATATTATGTGTAAGCCATCTTCATCAAAAGAACAAACAATTCAGATACGAACATGTCATGGAAATCTATCAAAATCCTCTATACGACGAAAAACAACGGATTCTATATCATCACCTACGATTATTTCAGCTGAATTATCGTAATAATAATAATAAATTGTATCATTGTGTTTATTCGGCTTATATCTTTTTCTTCTGTTATTTATTATTATTCTATTGTCTTCTCTCTCTTTTTTTTTTCTTCTCCTCTATGCATATTGATATTTTAACAGAACGTGATTGAACAAATAATATGAAGGTTTTTTTTTCTATGTAAAGGATATATATTTCTCTGATCATCAAACGACAAGATTCATTGATAGAAAATTTTTGTATTAATTTCTATTGGAATTATATTGTCAAATCGAATAATGAACAGATCATGTCTTATCTAATTCCAATTGTCTGCTAACGTCATTGACATTGAACAGCTTGAAAGAACTAAATAACAAGATATGCACATCTACCATTGCCTTCTTCATGAATAGTTAATTTCTCTTATTGTTATTCACAAATGTGTATAGAAGAATTAATCCATACGCATAAATAAATTAGTTTTATTATTAAAAACGATCACGATTTTGTTAAATTTTACTTCTTATAATACAAATAAATCATTTAGACCTTGCTATTGTTAATACTACAGAATATAATAATGAACGTTGTATTAGCTTAAAGATATGCCTACGACATATATATAGATCTCCGATAAATAAAAAACATGTCTGCCTACGTTAGATGTCTATAAGAAATACAACTCTCTACTAATCCTAAACCAATTTGAATGAATCGCTTTTTTGTTTCTTGTTGAATGTCATGTGTACAATGACGCATTTAGGTTAAATAAAGAAAATGAAGTAGGTGGTTGAATAGTATTAAACATACGAACATAAATACTTCCTTATTCATTTTGTAGTTTTGTATGTTAAAGATAAAATCGACAATCATGTTTCAAGGTAGGTTACTAATACCAATAGGATTATTAAACATTTTTTTTAAAAAATTCATAATAGTTTTATTCATTCTTCTTACTATTATTCAATTGACTATCATCAATGCTGAAAATTTCACTATGAATATGACAACAGAAACTATGGAAAAAAATGAAATAGTTAGTACTACAACAATTAAAAATCAGCAACCATTGACAACATTATTATGTGAAAAACGTGATAAACCTTATTTTCTTCCACATAAATCTGATACAAGTAAATTCTATGTATGTGTTAAAGGACAATTATTTTTACTTAATTGTCCCACAAACTATCGATTTGATAGTGAAATTGATCAATGTATACGTAAAATAATTGAAAATGAAATCGAAGAAAGTAAGTAAATAGTAGATATATATATAAATACTTACTTTTATAGAATTTATTAATTATTTTTTTGTTTTCTTAGAACCGAAAAAACCAATTTTAATTCCACATGAAACTAATTGTGGATGGTATTATGTTTCACGTATTGAAACAGGTGAACGTATTCTCAATAGTTGTCCAATGCCACAATTATTTGATATTTCATTACTTGAATGTAAAAATTATACAGAAGTTAAATGTAAAGATCGTTTTGAACCAAAAGATGCTTGTAAGTACTTTAGAAAATGAAAATATTAATGATGCTATTTTTGTTTTTTACATTAAGGTGATTATCAAATACGTTCATCTGCTCATGCATATCCATGTTCCTATTTACCAAGCTGTAAAAATCGTGTTGATGGTTTATATCCAGATCGTTTACGTGATTGTCGCATGTATTTTCGTTGTACATCTGAACGTAGTTCAGAATCTTATTCATGTGCACAAAATACATTACCATTAGGTGAACGATTTAGTTTTGAAGAACAACGTTGTCTACCTGCTCAATATGTTGAATGCATCAATGATCAACAAAAACCTTTCTTTTAAATTTATGTTAACAAATGAATATAATTATACTCTTTAAATAAATAAATAAATAGAACAAGAAAAGCTAAACAAAAAAAAAATTTAATGATGTTGTTTGTGACTATTGAACGTTATTCTTGTTTTTTTTTTGATCAAATATTTGTTGATATGTGTATGAGCACATTCTCGAATGTCAATTACTAATACGACTAGTGCTTGTTCTTTCGTTCCTTTTTATTTATTCCATAAGGGATACTTTCCTTTCTTTTTGTTCTCTTTATCTGCCATATTCTAAGTAGAAGAAGCTCATCTTTATCCCATTTATGTCTTGTGAAGATGTGTAGCTAAACATGAAGACAATAATAGACCGATAGAAAAAGAGATAGATCTGCTTTTCTCGCTATTCCGCCTGTTCGCATTTAGAAAAGAAGTATGCTTCTTATGGGAATCGATATTTCTTTACCATTTCTGTTTGCTGTTGTGATGACAAGGCCAATATTCTTTTTCTCTTCTCTCTCCCTCTCTCTTTAACGTCTCTTATTTTTTTTATCGATCTCTATTGTATAGGAATATAACATACAAATCATAGAAAACTAACATTCCTATTAGATACCTGATCGTTTATCTCTTAGTATTAGCTAATCATTTAAAATGTAAATATTTCATTTCGTTCATTCCAAATGTGACATGAACAATTGATCATGTAGCATATTGACTTTGTCAATCATACCTTGAGCATTCATACGATGCAAATTATTATGACAATATATACAGACATATCTACATATTAATGTCATTCGGAAAAGGGCGCATGTATAGATGACTTCCTCAAAGAACACAATCGAAATAATGTATATATATATATATATATGTTTGTAATTGTGTGAATATGTGAAAAATAAGTGAAGTGAGTGTTAGAAAGAATGCATTATAAAGAAAAATGATAGGAAAATCGAGAAAAAAAGGAAAGCAAGGAAAGTTTTTTTTTGCTCAAAGGCAACACGGCGTAACAAAAGCTGTCTTTTTCAGTTTTTTTTCTTCTTACTCTTCTCGACTCGGTTTGTCCGATCACGTGTTTGAACGTAGAAAACAAGGCGGGAGAAAGAGAAAGAGATGAAGATTTTTCAATCACAATGTTAGTAATGATGGGCTTTGTAATAATAGTGATGGAATGTTACAAAAGAGTATGATTTCACATATATATATATATATCCATAGGCTATAGGGAGTATATGTCAATGGAAAATAGTAAAAAATCTATTAATTGTTGTTTGAAACCTTGACATGTTCTATTTTTTTTCTTTTTTCTTTAATCGCATGTCTTTTCACTTATTATTTTCATCGTACAAGTAAATCATTATCGATTGTAAGTAAACAATATGTTTTAACATCTTTTTTTTTTCAATAGTAAGTGAAGCTTGTTAGATTTCAAAAATAGGATTCTATTGATTTATTCATGCATATGACGACATTATTGTAAATGGTTTCATATTTTTTTTTATTATCAAGTACACTTCTCAGTTCTTATCTTCGTACAAAAAAAAAAGAAAGAAGAAAATAAATTTTCGATCATAATAAACTTAATCAAAACATCTTAGATATTTTTGTGTCAATAAACATAATTAAAATAATTATTTAAGATATAGATTTCTTTAGTATTTATTTTTCTTATTAAAATATAAAATAAATTCAATATATATGATATCCAGATATTCTATAAAATGTCCTTGATTTTATCGTTACTGCTTACGCTCTAATTATGACGCAATATTCTGTATTACTATTGACGTCAGATACTTCTTCTCTTTTGCTTGTATCATACCATCTCTTCTGTATATATATATATGTACACAAATTTTCTGTGTTGTCTATTTCTATATTATCCTAGACCTGTATATTATGAGAACATTTTGTTTTCTTGTTCTTTGTTATAGATGATAATAAATTTCTATTAAGTTCCTGTCAAAATGCCAATGAAAAGAGGTCATATGTCAGCTCCTCAAAATACATTTATTGATACAATTATACGTAAATTTGATTCACAAAGTATGTTAATATACTTCTCTTAATTATTTTTTAATATATACGAAAAATAAACAAATCTGTTTCTTATTTTAATATATATTAGATCGTCGTTTTCTTATATCTAATGCCCAATTAGCAAATAAACCAATAATTTATTGTAATGATGGATTTTGCGAATTAATTGGATATTCACGTGCTGATATAATTCAAAAAGCCTGTACATGTGAATTTTTATATGGTAGTGAAACAAGTGAAAAAGCTGCAAAACAAATTCGTCATGGTTTACAAGGCAGTGATGAAAAAGAAGTTGATATTGTCTTATATAAGAATGATGGTAAGATTTTATTTTTTTTTTACTAAATATTAATTAACAAAAAAATAAAAGAGAATAATATAAAAAAAAAACTTATTTCCGCTCATTTTTATCTAGGCATGAAATTTCGATGTTCAGTGCTCATTGCTCCGGTGAAAAATGAATCATGCGATATTATTTTATACATTCTTGAATTTACTGAAAGTAATGGTCGTAGTCAACAACGACGAATGCGTATGTAGCTTTAAAAAAAATTTCGGATGATATTTAATGGTTTCTTTTTTCTAGCAAAACTTCGTGACTATTCAACTAATCCAGCATGTATGTTATATGTAATTTCTTTTTTACGTCATTGTTTTTCTTATATTCCTAGTGGGTGTACATAATCGTTCATGGCTACAGATGTTAAATCCATTAGCGCGGCATAAACCGCGTCGATCACATGATCCAACAACTGGACGGACAAGTGATTTTGAAGGTTCCTCACCAACTGATACGATGGGTGGTTATATTGGTAAAAATAAGTTCTTTATTTTTTTTCATCCTGTTTTGTGTTAAAAGAGAATATCATTAGGAAAATAATTTCCGTCAAGTGGTACATGTCATTTTCTATTTCTTTTTTCTTCCCTATTACAATTAATAATTGCTTATGACATATAAACGTATGACAATTGTATTTATTCTATTAGTTTAACGTAAGAGCTACAATTAATTGAATCTATTTTTCTAGACATATAATCAAGTTAAAAACAATGAACGAAATTGAATCATTATTTTTATAGTATAGACAGATGTATTACTAAAGAAAAAGAAAAAGAACATATATAAAATTAATCGTTTAATTAAAAAATGCAAATAAATGAGTTCCGTTCGAGTTTTTTTTTGACTATCATATGAAGTTTGTAGTCGGTAAGTGTAATAGTTATTGATTTTACAAGAACAAGAAAAGTAAATCATTATCCAAACCAGACATAAATATGTAATTTGAGAAAAAGAATACATTTAAAGTTAAATAACTGATTAAACAAGAAAAACTACCATTTAGAAAATTACGATTTTTTTTCCTCATAGCATTGAATCATAAAAACACAACAACAAATATTCTTCTGGATGAAACAATTCCATCAGCATCAAAACATCTAACGATAGATTATGAAACAAATCCTGCATCATCTACAAGTTCAAATAGTTTATTAAAACCTGAAACTAATCTTTGGGTTGCAAATATGACTGATGTTGAATCAATGAAAAATAAATCTCAAAGTTTAAGTAATATAGCTGGTAAAATTTTTATCTTAATATATATTTTCAATTAAGATTAAACTTCTTTTTTTTATTAATCATAGAAACTGTTCTAAAAAAAGAAACAAGAGGTTCAAAAAAAATTAAACATTCATTTTTACCAAATATTCCAAATCGTATAGCACAAATCTTATCTTTAGGTGAAGATATTGTACCGGATTATCGTTTACCAGATAGTCGTCGTATACCACGTACAATTATACTTCATTATTCACCATTTAAAGCTGGATGGGATTGGTTAATTTTATTACTTGTTATTTATACAGCTATTGTAACACCCTATACAGCTGCATTTTTAATGCATGAAGATGGACCAAATAAACAACGTTCACGTCCATCACGTGCATTAAATATTATTGAACTTATTGTTGATGTTATGTTTATTATTGATTTATTAGTTAATTTACGTACAACATATGTTAAACATAATGAAGAATTAGTAACACGTGCAAGTAAAATAGCTAAACATTATTTAAAAGGATGGTTTTTAATTGATGTAACAGCAGCTATACCATTTGATATTTTATTTTCATTATTACAAACAAACGGTGGAGGAGAATCAACAACATTAATGGGTTTATTAAAAACAGCACGTTTATTACGATTAGTACGTATAGCAAGAAAATTAGATCGTTATTCGGAATATGGTCTCGGAGTTTTAATTTTATTAACGGCTACATTTGCACTCATTGCACATTGGCTTGCTTGTATATGGTATGCTATTGGTCGTCTTGAACGAAATAATCATGGTAAGTTTATAATATGTTCTCTAATAAATTGCCATTCTATTGAATATATAATAAAATCTTCTTATTAATAAGTCAATGATTTGAAGGTTATATCCTATTTATAAAATTAATCAAATAAAATGTTTATATATGACTATATGTCAATTTGGTGATATAAACTAATTGATCATGGGTACATAGTAGAGAAATTTTTGTATTCATACAAACAGAATGATTTACCGGCAAGATTGTCGTTAACAATGAAATATAAGTTTAAGCTATTTTATTTATAGAACTAAAGGAAAATTGTATAGTATTAAAAAAGCATATTTCGCAAATTTCCTCTTAGGCAATGAGCGATTAATTGGCTGGTTAGCTGAATTAGCAAATCATACGCATCAATATTATAATGATTCAGATCCAACATCTGGTCCAACAAAAACATCGAAATATATAACAGCACTATATTTTACCTTTTCATCTCTTACATCAGTCGGTTTTGGTAATGTGAGGTTCGCTGAGTATTCTCTATGAAAGTCTTTTTTTATTTATCTCAAAAAAATATTTACTTTATCTAGTCCAAATACAAATAGTGAAAAGGGTTTTTCAATAATTATTATGCTCGTAGGATGTGAGTTATATCTATATTGTTCTAAGTAAAGTCCTATATGTTGTCAGTATTGTATTGTCTTTGTGTTCGCTTAGCTTATTGTTTTAGAATCACGCATAACATGGCTTGATGAATTAGCACGTATATCAGGTCAACCGTATAATTGTTCATCAGTAATAAATCAGAATGGAACGAATTTGATTGAAAAAATATGTTTTGGTGGACCTAATCTTCGTTCAAAATATATTACAGCACTTTATTTTACTTTTTCATCATTAACATCAGTTGGATTTGGCAATGTAAGAAAAATCCACTAAAAAGACAGAAACATAAAATTATATTCTTTTTCTTCTCTCTATATATATATATATGTACAGGTTAGTCCTAATACAAATTCCGAAAAAATTTTCTCCATTTGTATCATGTTAATCGGATGTGAGAAAAAATGCATGAGATAATTTAAAAAGCATGAAATTGATGTGGCTTTTGATGTATCTATTTATAGATTATCATCATATTGAATACATTTATTTTCTTCTTTTGTTTAGCTCTTATGTATGCTAGTATTTTTGGTAATGTCAGTGCTATTATTCAGAGACTGTATTCGGGTACAGCACGTTATCAAATACAGATGTTAAGGTATATAATTAATAATTAATAATTTATATATATATATATGGTTATTTTATTAAATAGAGTAAAAGAATTTATTCGTTTTCATCAAATACCTAATCCACTTCGACAACGATTAGAAGATTATTTTAATCATGCATGGAATTATACAAAGTAAAATAATATTAATATTTTGTTTATTTAATAATTAACGTTTTTTTCTTCTCTAGTGGTATTGACATGAATATGGTGCTGAAAGGTTTTCCTGAATGTTTACAAGCTGACATATGTCTTCATTTAAATAGTCAATTACTTAAAAATTGTTCAGCATTTAAAGGTTGATTATTTTAAAATTAATTTTCTATATTTATTTCTATTTTTAGATGCTAGTGACGGTTGTTTACGTACGTTTTCAATGAAATTTAAGACAACTCATGCACCACCAGGTGATATAATAACACATCGTGGAGATATTTTAACATCATTATATTTCATTTCACGTGGTTCAATTGAAATATTAAATGATGATAATGTTGTTGCTATTCTTAGTATGTTTATTCGATTAAGTTTTATATAATCAATAAAATATCCCTTCTTTAAGGTAAAGATGATATTCTTGGAGAAAATCCTTTGTTATATAGTGAACCAGGAAAATCAGCATTTAATGTTCGTGCATTAACATATTGTGATTTACATAAAATCTTACGAGATGATTTACTTGAAGTCATCGATATGTATCCTGAATTTGCACAAAGTTTTTGTGAAAATTTAAAAATTACTTTAACATTACGTGATGTAAGTGTAAATTTCAATATTAGAGATGAATACTGAATTTATTATTTATTTAAAAGGAAGATTTAGTTTCAAAATCAAATCAATGTCGATCAAAATATTTTACAAATCCACAACAATTTCGAGCAAGTTCGTATTTATATATTTCGTCTTTTTTCTTTTAAATTTTCTTTTATCAATTTAGGTACATCGTGTACTAGAACTGATGAAGATGATGTATCAATAGTAGCTCCACAATTTGAAGAATATCCAAGTGGGACAGGTAAAGACTTATTCTTAATTATTAAAAGACGTTCTGTAAAAATCGTCAAGAATATTCTATGTAATTAGAAAATTTGATATCGATCAATATAAACTGATTAGTTTTATTCGAAGTCAACATTAAAAGTCTTTAAATCCGATTAAATTATTGATCAGAAGCAATAATACTAAAAGATTTGAATAAATATTTTCTTGTTATTTAATCTCCGTCATAGAAAATTATGAGCAAGAGTATTCACTTGAATTCAAAGTAAATATGAATATAAAATTTTTTGCATTTTTTTGAGTAAAATATCTGAAGTATGAAATTTATGTAAACAAAATTCAGAAGAAAAGGTTACTGAATTATGATAATATTAGAAAACTTTGATTCCGCATGTTTCTACTGAAGAAATTTTCAAGGTCATCGATGTACTCGTCATAGTTCTTATTTATTTGAAAAAAATGTCAAATACTTCAAGCTGTCGCTTTACAATAATGTGAAAGTACCGAGAATAAGTGAACGTAAAACGAAGAAGTATTATGAATGGGTCACTGATTATAAGTTATGATAACAGAGTAATTAAATATCTTTACTTGCATTATATTTCTTTTTAATCAATTATTTTAATGTAAAGCATATTAACTACTAAATTCTTTATTACTAAAAATATATTTGCTTGAATAATTAGAATAATTTAACGGATAGAAAAGCAACACAATAGGATAAATACACAAAAAGTAATAGGAATTTTGTACACAGCAGGTTTTTTTTTGTTGTTGAAAAAGAAATGTTTTAAACAAGCGGAGGTTTGCCTGTGCCTGTTGTTTTAACTTCAATTTTTGCTGCGGATGAATCTCCATGAGGTGCATTGGAATCATGTGATGCAGATACGTTATGTGCAGTACCTGTTGTTGATGTATGTACCTCACCTTTAGCTTTTACTTCATCAGCTAAAAGAAAATATTTCAAGAAAAAAATTTATAATTTATTTTAAATTAGTTTACCTTTTTGTTGAACATCTTGTTTAACTTCTAAAAGAAAAAGAGAAATTATTTTTCTAGTATTTGAAAGAAAATATTTCAAATGTTTTACCTTCGCCCTTCTTTTTAGCATCATTTGCTAAGTCATTTGCTTTATCTTTTGCTTCATCAACTTTCTCCGATGCTTGTTCTTTCAATTCAGCTCCTACTCGTTGTTTAGACATTTATCAATAATGTTCAAAAATTTTTTTTCTTTTTACCTTTTTCTGCAGCTTTATCAGCCGTTTCTTCGGCTAAATAATTAGGTCAAAAAAGAAAGTTTTCATGATTTTCTTTCATAGAGAAAAAAAAAGTTACCTTTCTCTTTAGCTTCACCCGCTAATCCCGTAAGACTAAAGAATAGAAGAACATGCAATAAAAAGAGAAAAAAGAACTTTATAAATTAAATTACCTATGAATAGCTTCTTGAGCTGAATGAACAGTGGCTGATCCGACTTCCATAGCTTTTTCAGCAGTCTAATAAAAACAAGATAAAAAAGAATATTTAATCACAAAACAAACAACTAACCCATTGTCCAGCTGCACTGAGTTTTTCGCCAACAAAATTAGCTGCATTACCAGCTGCATTTGCTGCAGCTGCTGGAATACTTTGTACAGTTTCAACAACCTAAATATTTATATTAATTTAATAGAAATAAAATAGATTAGATTAGATTTTATTTTACGGAATGTCCAAGTTCTTGAACTTTTTCAACTGCAACATCTTTAGCATGAATAGCACTTCCAAGAATTGTATTTGAAGCTTCTTGTGCATCATTAGCTAATTGAGCACCTAAATAAAGAAATTAATCAGAAAAATATTTCTCTAAATATAAATTCAATTCTATACCGGCTTCTTTAGCTTGATCTAGTTTTTCTTGTGCAGCATCCTTTGCTTCACCAGCCTTTTCCTGTGCAGCATGTGTAAGTTCATTGGCTTTTTTTGATGCATCATCAGCCAATTGAGCTCCAGCTGCTTTAGCTTGATCCAATTTTTCTTGTGCAGCATTTTTTACTTCACCTGCTTTCTTTGATGCATCATCAGCAAGTTGAGCACCCGTTGCTTTAGCTTGATCTACTGTCTTTTGAGCAGCATCTTTGACTTCTCCTGCCTTTTTTGATGCATCATCGGCAAGTTGGTTACCGGCAGCTTTAGCTTGATCTAGTTTTTCTTGTGCAGCGTCCTTTACTTCACCAGCTTTCTTTTGTGCAGCATCTTTGACTTCTTCAGTTTTTTTCGATGCGTCATCAGCAAGTTGAGCACCGGTTGCTTTAGCTTGATCTACAGTCTTTTGAGCAGCATCTTTGACTTCTCCTGCTTTCTTTGATGCATCATCAGCAAGTTGGTTACCGGCAGCTTTAGCTTGATCCAATTTTTCTTGTGCAGCGTCCTTTGCTTCACCAGCCTTCTTCTGTGCAGTATCTTTGACTTCTTCAGTTTTTTTCGATGCATCATCTGCCAATTGAGCACCGGCAGCTTTAGCTTGATCAACTTTTTCTTGTGCAGCATTTTTCACTTCACCAGCTTTCTTTTGTGCAGCATCTGTTACTTCACTAGCTTTCTTTGATGCATCATCAGCAAGTTGGGCACCAGCTGCTTTAGCTTGATCAACTTTTTTTGAAGCATCATTAGCTAATTGAGCTCCTAAATGAGAAATAAAGTTTGTGTTATTATTTATTTTTTTGAAATTTTAATTGCTTAGTTAATAGCAATCTTTTAGTTAGTTTGTGTTAGGAAAATAAATTAGTTAGATATTTGAAATGTAACAAGTATTCTTGTTTACATTAAAACACATACCAGTTTCTTTCGCATCCTGAGCGGCTTCATTAGCTTTAGGTTTAACTTCATCGGCTGTTTTATTTGCAGCATCTTTTACTTCATTAGCTTTATCTTTAGCTGCATCAGTAGCAGCACTCGCGTTCTCCTTCACTTCATCGCCTGAGACACAAAACTAGACATGAATCACAACATTTATTACAATTCTTTTTACCTTTTTGTTCTGCTTGGTGTTTTAAATCGGCCGCCTTCTGTTGACCAAACTTCAATCCTATTTGAATAATATAGTATAATAAATTGAAATTTATAGTTTTAGAAGCAAAAAAGTCTCATTTTTACAACTTCGCATTGATATTACATGAAATTTTATTGTTAATCGAATTGTTTTTAAATATTTATACAAAAAATAATATTTTAAACTGATCTATTTAATTCTTAGTTAGAAATTTTGATGCTAACTTACCATCAGCTGCAGTCTTTTTAGCATCTGCTGCAGTTTTATTAACATCAACTTTAATATCCGAAGCCGTTACGGGTCTATTCGTATTGTCTGACATAGTTTTTTTTGTTTATAAGAAAAAATATATATCTAAAAGAATTTTTTAGTCTAAATGTAGTTTATTATTGTGTCGACAACACATATGTACGGCTACTTATATAGTACCATTATTTCAAATGAAATAAAGTACATTAGTCAGCAGATGAATGCGTATGACTCGATCTGTTTGAATGGAATAAGTGAGAAGAGGAGAGAAGAAAAAAATGAGAACTTCGATTACTGTTTCTTCTCTTTTCTATATGATAGAAGTATTTATTTTTACTACACCCAACATTTTTGTTCTTTTTCTTTCTCGATCTCTCGTTTGCTAGCACAACTAATCGTAAAATACACTCAACTGTTTGTCTAAAGAATGTAGAAGAAAACAAGAAGCTAGACATCGCCGACGATAGTAACTAGTTGAAATAAACAGAGAAAAATATTTTTTTTCTGCCTTTACAATGATCACGATAATAATTTTTCATTGAATCGCCTATTCCATCACGGCGGATTGCTTAGTTTTCTTGTTTTTTCTTCTCCTCCTTTCTCTTTCTTCATGTTTTTCATTATTTTGTCGTTCTGAATATATCGCTCGGGCTTTAATAATAATATAATAAAAAAAAAAGCAACGACGTAATGCACATCGACTCTCTCAACTCACAGAACATGTGAGCACATGTAGAAAATGGAATAAATGTGTGTCTATATATTTATTTTTAAATTAAATATCAATTGAAAAAGAAAAAAAGGAAGACATTGAAATTGATGATATAAAATATAACTAACAGCCTTGAAAATTTGCGTCTCTTTTTTCACGAAAAGCATTTCGTCCTTCATTAATATCATGTGATGAAAGACATGCATCAATTGACGTTTTTATAGTTAATTCATTAGTTCCATTTTCAATCATTAATTTAATAGAACGAATTGATAATGGAGCATTGCGTGATATTGTTTGAGCTAATTCCAATACATATTTATCGAGATTATCATGACTATCCGATACATATTGAATTAATCCTATAGAATAAGCTTGTTGAGCTGAAATTCTATTACCCGTATAGAGTATCATTTTTGCCTCAGATTCACCTACTAATTGAATTAAACGATGAACAATATCTTTTGGACATGGTACACCTAATTTAACAGCTGGAATACTAAATGAAGCATTTTCAGATGCGATACGAATATCAACATTCATGGCTAATGCAAGGCCACCACCTAAACAATAACCATTAATTTTTGCAATAATAGGTATTGGATATTGACGAAGTTTAACACGAATATTTGGTATTGTATGATCAGTACCATCACCTTCTTTTTCCGATAAATCTGCACCTGAACAAAATGAGATTTGACCACTACCAGTTATTATTAATACACGAATAGTTTTATAATTAAGAAGACAATCATCTAGTAGATCTGATAAGGCAAACCACATTTGACGTGATATTGCATTACGTTTTGATGGATTGTTTATTGTAATACGTCCAATATATGCTAATTCATCGACAATATCAAATAAAATAAGACCAGATGCATATTCTTTAGTAATCTTAGATTCAACCATATTCTATAATATTAAAAGGAATAAATTATTTAAGAGTTGTCATATATAATAAAAATCCATGTCAATCTATATATTTTTTTTCAAAATAGATGTATCTTAATTATTTTGCTTTCTAGGTATACTTGAATTTAATCCTCAACTAGCCGGTCAAGATGTAACCCCTGCTAATCTTGAATTTGGTTCAGCTTCATTTCGTCGTCGTGAACGACGAGAAAAATCATTTAGTGGTGCTTCGGTATTACAAAGTAAAATTTTAATGATTAAAATAATACAAATAATTTTAATATTTCCTATATCAGCTGTTCAACATCCATTCTATTCTCAACAACCATCATCGTTACAAGCTATTAATGATGAATTAGTTCCATTGGTTTGTAAACTTCTGCAAAAATAAAACATCTATTTTTCCGAATTTCTTTTAGACAAATCAATCTCAAGCATTTGATCCATATCAATCAAATATTGATTATCGTTTTCAAGAATTAACGAAGTAATCATTTTTTTAGTTTATATTCTCAATAAATTTTTTTTGCTTTGATATATTTAGACGATTATCTACTTTAGAAACAAAACTAACTGAAGATGTATCAACTGTTCTTTTAATTTTACAACGTCAATTTCCAACAAATAATTTAACAATATCTGTTTCTTCTACTGAAACATATAAAACAAATACTTAAAAAAAAATCTTCTGTGATAAAATTTCGTTGTTTCGTATCTTCTTAACTTATAAATGTATTTAAAACAAAAAATCTTAAATCGATAAAAAACAGCAAAACATATAATTCATTCATTCATCTATATATGTCTGTATTTATAAGTTCCGTCCTTTTCTTACCTTTTCTTCCTTGACGTCAACCGATAGCAATATGTATTTTGTTTTGTGTAATAAATAAATAAACTATACGATATAAGATTACCGAATATAATCATTTCATTCATATATATTGGATCGTGTTTTAAAATTGAATATAGCGACATCTATGATAAAGAAAAGAACTTTTTTAATTGGTTATATTTTTTTAAACCAATCAGATTCGTTTTCGGTTAGACAAAGCAATGCTTCTTTTTTTGGGTCAATTGAATATGAAGTTTAATTTTTATATTGGAATAATATATATTTAGGCAATATAGTTGATTGAAATGTGATAAAATAGAAAGATATCTATAAATTATTGAAATCTATGTTTGCTTAATATTGAAAATGTGGAATCCAGAGAATTACAATAAAACATGAATATAATGAACTATTTATTTGGTAAGAGTTTTTTTTAAACATAATCTCAGTTATTTAAAGTCATACGTATTTTTACTAAAGACTGTCTAACGATTTTACCGAAATGTATCATTGTTTATTGAGCTATAAGTCATTTATAATTAATGCTTTATATATTTATTTTAGATATAAAACATGGGTGGGGTTACACAAAAAATGACGGATACTGTTAAGAGTGTACCTATCTTAAGTTCACCAGGTATACAAGCTGTTGTTGTACTTCGTGATCCAAATAATGGACAAGTCTGTGGTCAAGTTGATTTTCTTCAAGCAGATGATGGCATAGTAACTGTCAGTGGTGAAATTAAGAATATACCCGATAAACAAAAACGTGGTTTTCATATACATGAATTTGGTGATACAACTAATGGATGTACATCAGCTGGTAAATAATTATGTTTCTATAAACGAAAATCATATCTGAATTTATTCAGACGTACTATAGCTTTATTAAATGAAATATGAATATAGTGAGAGGCTGAATCCCTTAGAGAGAAAGGCATTGAGATGATCTGTACTACCCCTTTCATTGACATTTATAGATAAATATATCCTATTATTGTGAGAATACAATGTTTGTCAGGCACGAAACTAGATGACTTAAAAGATCGAGTACTATCGATATATTTTTGATTTTAAATAATTATAATATATAAATTTATTTCTAGGTGCTCATTATAATCCAGATAATAATGATCATGCTGGTCCTCAAGATGTACTTCGTCATATTGGCGATCTTGGTATATCGAAAAGAACACTGAAAATATATTATATTATTTAATTTTCTATCTGATTTCAATTGTAGGAAATATTATTGGTGGTTCGGGTAATGTTGCAAAATTTAATTTTAAAGATTCTGTTATAAAATTAACTGGACCACATTCAATTGTTGGACGTTCAGTAGTCGTTCATGAAAAAGAAGATGATTTAGGTCAAGGTGGAAATGCAGAATCGAAAAAAACAGGCAATGCTGGCGGTCGTATGGCATGTGGTGTAATTGGAATAAAAAAGAATTAATTCTCGATTTTCTTTTCTTATAGTTTAGTTTTTTTATACTGAAAATAATCCCGCTAAATCCTTCTCATATTATTTTTAGATCTGAATAATGCCACTTCGATTTGCTGTTGTTTGTTCATCAAATCAAAATCGAAGTATGGAAGCACATAATTTTATGAGTAAACGTGGTTTACTTGTTAAATCATTTGGTTCTGGTGCACAAGTTAAATTACCTGGTACATCACTCGAACGACCAAATGTATATACATTTGATACAACATATGAATTTATGTATAAAGATTTATATAATAAAGATGCTAATGTATATACGCAAAATGGTGTTTTACATATGTTAGATCGTAATCGTCGTATAAAAGAAAAACCGGAACGTTTTCAAGATTGTCGAGAACGTTTTGATATTATATTTACAGTTGAAGAACGCATATTTGATCAAGTTATAGAAGGTAATAAAATTTAATCGAATTAAATTAAATTAAATTTTGTTCTCTTATAGATTTAGAAAATCGCGATAAACGTACGAATGAAATAGTTCATATTATCAATATTGATGTTATTGATAACCCAGAAGATGCGACTCTTGGTGCATTTATGCTTTGTGAATTAGGACAAAAAGTAAAAGATTTGTTTTTTTTTAGTTTCGAAAGAAAATTTTTTTCTTTTAAGATGGATGCAATTGAAGATTTAGATAATGCAATTGATGAAATTCTTACCGAATTTGAACAAAAAACAAAACGAACTATTTTACATGCTGTTTCATTTTATTAATTAAAAAAAAAAATTGTGTTTTCTTTGTTGTTGTTGTTGTTATTATTTAAAAATAATAATTTGTAATCTTTTTTTCCGTGTTTTTTTTAATCTTTATTTATTACAGATATGAACGATCAAATTATTGGAACTTCTACGACAAATGAAGAAGGTAATAAAGCAAATTTTTATTTTTTTCCGAAGGAATTTTATTAATTAATTTTATAGAGCAAAATGTTCTTCCAACTACAAAAGAACCACAACAACAACAACAACAACAACAACAACAGCAGCAGCAGCAACAGCAACAGCAACAACAGCAGGAGCAACAGCAACAGCAAATAAATGTTGTTGATGATGCGACACTTCAAGCTGTACTTAGTTCAATGAGTGAAACAGAAATGAATGCTTTTCTGGAAGAATTAAATAAGACAGGAAAAGCATGTAAGATAAAGATTAAAACGAATTTTATCATTGAAATACGCGCCATTTTTATTTAGTTTTACCTGCTATTGGTCAAACAATTGAATTATTAACTGTTAATGCACCTGCAGAATTACCAACAACGACAACACAACCATCAGCTGAAATACTTCTTCAAGAATTAACAACACTTATTCAACAACCTGCTGATATTGTACCTTTGAATATTGAACAGAAAATGACAGGACCAACATCACGTACAGGTAATACAGCTGTTAAATCGACAATAACATCAAATAATAATGCAACTATTCGTAAACCCATTCAACAACAACAACAACAACAACAAATAAATAATGATGAACGGATGTTTTTTGGACGACCAACTACTATTGGACAAGGACAATATCATAATCGAACTGGATTAATGTCTGGAAATAGACAACAATTACAACAACAACAACAACAGCAGCAGCAGCAACAACAACAGCAACAGCAACAACAAACAATAGCCTCTCAACAACGTAGACCAATATCTTGGTTTCAGTAAATATTCAAATAAAAACAAAATATTTTAGAGTATATCTGATATGAGGTAGTTTGAGAATACTCTATTCTGTAGACATCATGATAAATAATACTAATATGAATACGATAGTTTTTGCCTTAGTTAGTGTAATAATCGAACTATTCATTAAAACTAGAATAAAGATAGATTAAATATTGATATTAGTAATAGATGTCTATGAAATGAATTCTTTCATAATCTGTATATACTCAAATTTATTTTCTTAGGAATCGTTCTCGACGTCATTCATCTGATGATGATGATGATTCTGATCGTGATTCATCTCCACCAATGAGTGGTAATGATAGTTTAGGACCAACACGTCGTTCAACACGTGTTCCAAAACCAAAACAAGATGCAGATTTTGTTACATTTCCATTATTGGATCGTGATGAAAATGGAAATCCAATTCCACCAACACCATCGTCAATGCCATTAAATAAAGGTGAAGACGATGAAGATGATATACCATATCGTTTAATGGATTATCCACGGCCACGTCCACAACAACAACAACAAAATCAACAATCTCAAATAGGTTCAAGTGGTCCTGGACGAAAACCACGTTCAACAGCAGAAATTCGTAGTACAACTAATATCAATAAAAAACAAGCACGATGGCCTGATGATGAATTATATCATGTAAAATCGTTTGTACCACTTATTATGCCACAACAAATAATAAATCCATCAACAATGAAAAATAAAATGACTCTTTGTAAACCATTAGTATCTGAACGTGAAGTTGAAGCTAAACCAACTAGATTTACTATTGCTACACAAACAGGTTGATATATTTTCAAATGAATTATTTAAACGTTTTTTTTTTCTTCATATATAGAAATGGAACATATGATTCCTGATGTACCTATAGTCACTTTACCTGTACCAATTTATCTTCCCTCACCAACACCAAGTTATCAATTATTTAAACCAAAAGCTGTACCAATACCTGTACCATTTTTTGTTCCAATTATGATACCAGTACAACGAAAAACTTATAAAAATATACGTGATTATCTTCAAGTAAGATTTATTTGATAAAATTTTATTAATAAAATTTAAATTTATTATATTTTTAGACACAACGTGATCTTTTACCTGATGATCCATTTGAAGCAGCACTTGTTATGCATGCTGAAAGTCTTGTTCGTGCAGAAAATCAACCACAACAAACAGCAACAAATGGAAATGATTCAGTAATGATGATGGATTTAACACGAGATGGTAAATTAAAATTTAAAACTATTCTTTTTTCAAATTTTATCTATTATTTTCTATGCTTTTCATAGATTCTTATATAACAACATCACAAACAATTGAAAATCTCCCAGAACTCGATCTTGAAGCACATTATATTGATCCAATTACATCAAATGATCCCGAAGTTCAAAAAGTATGATTTATTTAAAGAAAATTTTTTTTTATAATATAGATCATTTCTTTCTTAGCTTCTTCGAATGTTACCTGATGCTGGTTATCGTCTTAAATGGACTTACGGTGTTGAAGCATTTCAACAATGGTGTGCACAACGTAATCGACCTATTTTAACAGCTACATCTGAAGGTAAAATCATTGTCTCGAATAAAATAAAATAAAATTTCTTATTTTAGAAGCAGAAATAGCAAAACAATATTTAGTTAAATCTGATTTACTTTCATATGGAAATGGTGATGAATTACAACAAATTATGGATTTATTCATACGTGAAGTTCGTCGTCCAACAGGCGAAGAATATTTACCTGAAAGTATTTACTATCTTTGTCTAGGTAAATATAATTATAAAATTTCTAATCAAACAAATCTTCCATAAGCTTATTAACTTCTAAAAATAATTATATAAGGGAAATTGTTATCTGAACAACCAGATTTTATGCTATTCTCTTTCAATTTATCTACTATCATTACATTCAGAGTAAGATTACAACAAAGATCGTTTATGTTTTCAAAATCTTGTTATAAATACAACTAATATTTTTAATTTGCTTTATATCATCTATATGATTATTGGAAAATATATCAGACAGATTTTTACATTAATCGTTAGTACTTTGACAATCTATACTATAGTAGTTTAATATTAGTTTTCTACTGATATTTTCATATACATGAATTAATCTTAAATTTCTCTTTATGAATTCATTTTTCTTAGGTATTCAGTTTTATTTAAATATCAACAATCGTGCAATTGATCTATTCGATCCTCGTTATATAGAATTTAATTCTAGTTTAAATACAATTCTTCAAAATTATACACCACGTCTTTTAACTGATTGTAAATAAATCTTTTTGTTCTTTGCTTATCTAAATCAATATGTATCTTTCTTTCTAGCAAATACATATGTATCATTAATTGATGAAGATTTATTATATGATGTTCATCAATTAGGTACATTAACACCATGGTCTTTATTAACAACATTACTCTATACAAATTCTAAATATTTTAACTTAAAAACTGTTGAAGGACATATAGCTATTTCATTTGCAAATTTTGGTAAATATTCTCAATGGGGACGTTTATCAAATAATGCACCACAAGGACAACAAATGAATTATTTACGATTCTATGCACATAATTCGGGTACATATATATATATATATATCAATAAAAATATCTATTTATTTTCATTTTTCTATTAATAAAGATCTGAAATCATTAGTAAATTCACCAATAGTTTATGAACTAACTGAACAAGTTAATGATCCAGTTCGATGTCCAATAAAACAATATGATTATTATATATCAAAAACGTAAGATAAAATTTCAGTAAACATATTTTCTTATTCTATTAAATTTTCTGATTAGTCCTGAAGAAATTCGTGGTACAGCTGATGTATTTTATTTACGTCCTATATCAGAACAATTTCAAGAAAATTCAATATGGTATTCTAATGAATCATTATCACCATCAACTATTAATCAAATTTTAAATAGACTTAAACTTATACCAGATTTTTATAATGAAACAAAACCTGTTGAAACAGGTTCAACACCATTAAATGGAAATAATTCAATTTCATCATCATCATTAGCATCAGCAACAACAACAACAACATCAACAACAAATAATTAATTTGTTTTATTAATCATTCATTGATTTGTTTGTAATGCTCATTGTTAAGAGCAAATCGCATATGTTTGTACAGAACTTTGTCTTCTTTTTTGTTTCTATCGGTTCGATGAAAATGTTACATCGTGTATACGTGTTTGTGTATTATTTGTTTCATTGATAAAGAAAGAAAGTAAAAACAAAAACCAGTCCTACTCATTTATTTCGATAAAATTATCAAATATACATTTAACTGATTTTGTTGACTTCAGTTCTGTTCAAAGTTTTACCGCGCGGGTGTGAGACGCTCAACCAAAAAACGAGATTTAGACAAAGCACTGATAGCGGCATTCATTCAAAAAAATGTTCGTTTTTCCAATTGGATTCATAATGCAATTGAAGCCAATTTGATTTTATGAGCTTTTTCGTTTTACAAAAAAAACTAACAAGTATTATTTTGTACACAGTCACTTATTTGATTAAACAGAGCACATCTATGGCTGTATAATAGATGCAAGAGAATGAAAAAAAACATCGTGAAAAGTACAAATAAACAAGATTTCAATTCTAAAATATAACAACCAAAGAAATTGTTTAGACTACACTCTGATAAATTTCACTGTTTTTATCATTTTGCAAAGTTTGTATATATGTTAATGATTACGACATTTTTATTCTAGTTTTTCAAAAAAAAACGAATTGAGTGATGTGCTGAAAGTGTTTTAATGGATGCAGAAAGAGAATTTTATTTCCCATTTAAAATCCTAAACATATTCAGCGATCAATTAAGTCAATCTTACGTAATCTGTCTAAATCATCGTCATTCATCTATATCATAATTTCATCATTTTATTTACTCTTATTGGATTTGTTATTATAGAAAATAAGAGAAGGAAGATAATCAGTCCATTATAAACTAAAAAGAAAAGAAAGAATTTTTTTTGTTTTTCTTAGTGATTGTTTTTAAATGTTCACATTCCAAATTCATTAAACGATAAAGATATTGTCATGCTTTTCTTCAACCCTTATGTCAATATTTTTTTTCATTTAGTAAAAATAATGTAAATGTAAGAAGAGAGAAAAAGTTTTTTTTTTTCGTCACCCACCACCTTACGCCCTTTTTGTCATAAATGCAAGAATAAAAAACAAAACTGCTTATATAAACATCAGTTATTTTTCAGCATTACATTCATCGGCAACAGTTTTGATCAAGATTAAAACAACGAAAAGATGAGCGGAGCACTTTCGTCTTTATCTAATCGTCAATTATTGAGTCCTGATCAAAAAGCACTAAAAACTAAAGATGATCCTGCAACTTATGGTGATTTCTATCGTGCTTCATCAGCTGTATCAACAAATGATATTAATTTTCCAAAAGTTCTCGGTAAAACAGATCAAGTAGGAGAAGAAACATTGTATCAAGTTGAAATTTCAAATGAACCATTATTACGAAAAACACTTCGATCAGAATTAGCTAGTAAAAAAAAATGTTTAACACGACGATGGCAAACAGCTTTAGCTACAGGTTTATTTCTAGCAGGAATGATTGCTGGAATTGGTAAGTGAACTATTTTCTAGTTTTCAATTATTTTGTAATTTTTTATCTGAATAGCTGGTCTTGCTTATTATTTATCTGTGCCACAAACAATTACAGCACCATTTTTACTTTATGGCGAATCATGTTATATGAATTCTCGTTCATGTGATGCCTCACGATTACTTTGGTGTCCTGCTGGTGTATGTTTATGTACAGGAAATTTTCAATGGAATTCAACAATAGAAAATTGTACATGTGGTTCATATTCAAGTTTTAATGGTTTTGAATGTCAAGGATTGGGTTATTATGGTGATCCTTGTACTTATGTACAATGTCGACCAACATTAACATGTACTGCAGCTCTTAATACAACATATACAACTGGCCAATCCATATGTGTATGTGATAATTCTACATATCTTGACACAGTAAATAACGCGACCAAAGGCACATGTGTAACTAAATTGGGATATAATTCAACTTGTTTAACAGAAGATGATTGTAAAGATTGGTTGGGTCTTTATTGTATTGATTCAACAGGAAGTAAAACTCTATTTATTTAGAATTTATATATCTTTATATATTCATTTGTTTTTTCTTCTTCTTGTATAATAGCTCCTAGGTGTGAATGCGATACATCAACATCATATTGGGATTCATCTGCAGGACTATGTCAACGAAGTAAAACTAATTTATTAATATTTTTTTCTTTTATTTTGATTATTTTTCTTTTATTTTTCTAGAGGTACTTGGTTGGGATCCATGTAATGCTACAGTTCCATGTGATACATCGAAAGGTCTTACATGTGTAGCAGGTCTTTGTGAATGTGATGCATATAGTTATTGGGACAATGTAACAACAATAAATTGTCAAACATTGGTATTTAAAACAAAAGAATTCTTTTTTTTTTTCTTTAATTTTTATATTTTTAATTTGTGCTAGAAAACATATGGGATTAGTTGTCAATATGATTTTCAATGTAATCAGACTGTAAGTCTGTCATGTCCAGCAGTATTAACAGGTTGTAGTTGTCCTATACAATCACAAAACTATATATGCGATTGTCAACTTGGTAATTTTTGGGATGGCCTTCGATGTACACCTACACATTCATATAATGGAACATGTGATTTTCAAAATGCTTGTACAACTGCAGGGAATTTTGTTTGTTATTTAGGACATTGTATATGTCCAACTGGTACAACATGGAACAATGCGACTCAATGTGTGTAAATGAAGTGGACAAGAAACTATTTTTATCAAGAAATAAATTAAAAACAAACGTTTTTTATGTAATCATAATTTTGCACAGATTTTGTTTTTGAAAACAATGGGATCTATAATTTCATCACTTATTTTTGTAAAATAAAGCCTTTGAATTGTTTTAAAATTCTGATCAAAAATAATTTATTCTTTCTTTCTACTATTTACAAGTTATAAATGATACAATCAAGTCATTTTTTATTGAAAGAGAAAAAGGTTTTTTTGTAAAATAAAATCGATCAAAAATTCGAACATGTGCATACAATGATAATAATAGAAATAGTATTGGAACAATTACACCAACTAATAACAACGATATAATTTTCAATCATTATTCTTTAATTAGACAACAAAGTATAGAGTGCGACACGATAATCCCCTTTGATTAATCGTTGATATGTTCTATTCAATATGCATTAATTCATAACTGTGTTGTTTCCTTCTTATTTTTTGATCAACTGTTTAATTTATTCTTTATCTTTGACAATTAATTGATTGATCCGATGAGCTCATTTGATTGTATTGAAAATATATTTAAAATAACAGTTTGAAAATGTTCAGTTTAATAAAGAATGTCGTCTCAATCTCGTCATATCTACACACCCAATGAACGAATGATACTCGAAGCAAGTTTTGCTCAACAATCACATCCTCCTATTAATGAAAAAGAACGTTTAGCAACACTGTTAAATTGTAATATTATTCAAATTTCTAATTGGTTCCAAAACCATCGAGTATGAGAAAATAATTTTTTATTCAATTTGAAGAATAAATTTTGTTTTTTTTTAGCGTCGAGTTAAGAAACAGATGAAATATACAATAGGAAATGTTTCAACAAATACAAATTCTCCTACATGTCAAACAACTTATGTTTATCAACAACCAAATTGTATATGTGATGTTAGCAATAATAATTCAACGCCTTATTATTCACCAACATATCAATATGTGTATTCTTATGAACCATTCTATACACAACCGACTTTTTTTGATCCATCTTTTTCCTATATTCAATAAATGAAATGTACTTTTGATTGTATGAAATAAATATCGACTTAAATTGGCGCTTATTTGAACTAATATGATAATTCTATAATATCATTCTTGTATTATTTTTTTTTTCTAAAATTTCTTCAATTTTTCATCAATGAAAAAAAATAGTTTAGTACAACATCATCAAACAGAAAAGGCGATCATTGATGCTCTATTGAAAATATCTGAAATTGTACAGAAAACAGAATCTAGTCGACAACGTCAAAAGTCAACAAATAAACGTTCGAAAAATTTAGTTGGTGAAGGTGATTATAATGAGTTGTATGATGATAATGAACAACAACAACAAGTGCCAGTACCACCTCCTATGCGTACATTTGATTCATATGTCTCAGGATTCAATCAACAATCACTTCGTACATCATCAAATTGCAATCAGATCTCAACTCATGCATTGAATCTTCTAGAAAATAGTTAAGTATACGTTTAAGAAATTAGTTTTATAAATAATCTAGATTTTTTTCTCTTTAATTGTTAGAGAAACGAAATGTTCAATCTTCACCGATAGAGTGTACAGATAAAAGTGATTTTAAAAATCAAGAATGTTCGTATAAACGTCATTATGATGATATCTCATACTCATCGAATGAGGATGAAGATCATCCGACGAAATCTACAAGATATCATACAAGCCATCGATCAGATATAAGTTCACAACCGGTATGATAAATGGAAAAATTTTCGAAGAAAAAAATATTTTTTTATTCTACATGTTATTCAGATATGTGAAGAATTGAAAACAACTGATAATCAACCAACAATTACAACTATACATTCTCAAACTACTATTAATCAAATTAAATCTTTAGTTACGAATACATTGGATGATCAATCATCATCATTAATAATCATACCTACAACTTCAGGTCCAATTACAAATCAACAACAACAACAATCAATACCGTCAGGAAATAATTCAGTCAATCGTAAAACAGAATCCAATACATTTATTGATCAACAATTACAAACAACATTAGAAAAACGTTTAAGAGATCATTTATTATCTACAATAACTATGAATCATCAGCAAGAAAATCGATTCGCTCATTTAACAAAATCCGAAACAGAAAAAGTGATGGATAAAATTGATTTTACTAAACAAGTTTGTGATTTAGAACACTATGAAAAGCAGGTTAGAAATATTCTAATAAATGAGAGAATATTTGATGAATTTAATTATTTTAGCGTGAATTAGCAATGCTTGCTGCTAAACAAGGCAATTATACATTATCATATTCTATCTATACAAATGTATTACATGATAGTCAATATGATTATAAATTAAAATCTGAAATTTTAGCATCACGTGCTACAACATTATTATTAGATCAAAAATGTTATGAATCAATTGATGATTGTACACGAGCCATTGCATTTAATCAATGGAATAAATTAGCATATGTTGTACGTGCTGCATGTTGGATGATAAAACAAGAATATTCAAAAGCAGTTGATGATTATTCAAAATTATTTCATTTTTTTGATCAAAGTCAACATGTTTTAGATCTATTAAATTTAGCTTATGAAAAATTCAAAATTGTAAATAATCAACAATCGATTAAAAATGATCAAAAACCTATAATATCATCAATTGGAACAGGCATTAATTCTACTAAATCAACTAGTTTAACTTCACCAACTGCTTCATTTATTCAACCTGCTGTTTATCTTTGCTATCCATATCATGCTTACCCATCTTGGTATAGTACTCATAATAAACAACAAATAACAAATAAAGAAGAAATACAACAACCAACATATACGAGTGAGTAATACGCTTCAATTTATCGATCATAAAACCTTATACTTCAATAATTCGGTATGATGAAAAAAGATCGAAAAAATAATGTTGAAAAACAAATTTCGGAAGAATAAGAGTTCAAAAAAATGAAATTCCGGAAAGCCTCTATTCCGAAAAATAAAATCTCGAAAAACCTGTATGACGAAAATAAAATTTCGAATTATTCAAAGTAGTGGATATCAGTATGAGAATCAAATATATGATGATACCATCTAGAGGATATGGGTGAGTGTGGGTGTGGGCGCGGGGTGAGGGTTTAGATGTGGGAGTGGGATTCAGTATGGGTCTGGGTGTGAGTGTCGGTATGGGTGTGGGCGATCTAGTTTATTCATTCCCACACTCGTTCGGAATTCTATTTTTTCCACATTTCGAAGTTTGAAATTTGAAATTCCGGAGTTTTTCTTCGAAATTTTTGTTTTTCGACATTTAGCGTTTCGATATTTTTTTTTCGATCTTTTTCCAGCAATTCAATAATTCTTTCTCTGCTATAGTTACAAGTACTAGTTATACCTCACATCTATCATTAAATGATGATCAATCACTAATATCTTCTAAAACAAAACAAATATCATCGAAATCGATACATTCAAATAATAATGCTATTCTATCAGTCATAGATCCGATATCAACAGTTGAACGTCAATCTTCATATATCAATAAAAAATCACAATCAAATTTAATATGGATTAAAAAACCATACTGATCATTCTAACTAACATGCATTCTCATTTATTTATTGTTCTTTTTTTTTTGGTTAAATAAAATATTATTACAAAACAACGACTAGATTAAATTTTAGATAAAAAAAGGAAATTACAATTAAGAATAAATCATTCCTCCAAGAGATGTTTCCATTTGTGTTTGTTGGTCGGCAAATGCAATCCAATCGGAATTATATGTAGGTAATAAACCCATCGATTGACATTTATACAAAGCTAATGCTAAATGTGTAAGATTACCCAAAAAATACATTATTTTATGTAACCATATATTTCCGACTAAACCTTCTTGTTCTAATGATGCAAATGCTGAACTAAGTGAAAATATGGCCTAGAAAAAGGAAACAGATGATAAATTAGAAAACAAAAAATGTTTTTACTTGTATTGGCTTCATAAATAACATGACTACGATCATAATTGACATTAGTGAAAAAGAATTTCCAGCCATCCATGCTAAAACAATATTCATAGGTAATTGTTTTATTGGCTGTAATGCTATATCCCATGAACGTCTTGCTAATAAATGTTCATCATCATCTTGTGTTATTACATCTGACACTCGTTGTTCATTATAGCCAATAGGTGATAATAAAAGATTATTATTATTATTATTATTTAGTTGTGTTGTTGTTGTTACTGTTGTTGTTGTTAAACTATTTTCATTAGTTGTAACAGGTAAACGTTCATTTTTACGAATTTGTAAATCAATAAACCATTTTCGACGTGAAGGTGTTAGACGTACAGAATTTGCATTTGTAGGATATTGATTAGACATCTGAAACAAATATTTCAAGCAATAGATTCATACAAGTATACCTCATAGTATAGAAACGATTTATTGATCTTATGATCATTAATTTTACTTCATGTTTATCGCTTGTGTAACCTTTTGTAAATAAATGCCATTAGAAAAAAAAATCAAGGATACTAAATTTTATTTATCATCTTTAATCTCATAAAGTTAGAAATTTCATTATTTCTTTCATAAGAAACTAATTATTTGTATTCAAATCATTTTTCTGTTGATCGATAAACTCCATAACTTTTTAGCAATGTAAATATGGCGAATTATAAGATTGACTACCTATGTCGCTCAATACTTAAGTGACTTCTGTCTTCTATTAAACATATCTTACATAATCGAACGATTGATTATATATGAGAAAATAGTTGAAACAACAAAATGTTGAGGGGTAGGTCAAGAGATCATAATACATAACAAAAGTACTCTCGAATAAGTGAAATATAATAATCCATAATCGTTATAGCAAATTTAAATCTCTTTTTGATATATCTTTAACAGAGAAGCAATGTCTGACATTATGGATATGCAACTACAATGTTATATAGAAAGTTTTTTATTAAATTCGAGTTCTTCTCGTGCTTTTTTTCTTATGATTACATTCTTGAATTGAATCTAAAACAGGCTAGATCTGATAAGCTTTCATTCAAGAATGAAGCTCATTAAATTAAATAATATTTGTCTGAAGAGAATGATAATAAAAGAATGTTTTGTTTTATGCACTTACTGTACCTGTTATTGAAATATTTCAGTAAGAAAGATAATACGAACTGATAAATGTTGAATGTACATGCTGGAAAATCTTACCGTTCGTAAAAATATTTCATAGAGAAAAAAAATATATATGGAATTTAATCAGTCAAGTTTCTTGGATACTCATAGTATTTTATTATGAGTTAAATAGATAAAAAAATAGTCTTTATTAATAGAATATGATTGTGTAAAACTATTAGTATGAAAATAATATTGAATATTCTGATAATAGATTATTAATAGAAATGAAATGAAATATTGTGATGAATTAAATTTATCTATAATGCATAAAATAAAAAAATGAAATGAATTATTTAGAAAAAGAAATTCTTTTTGTCTTTTTCTCGTTTCTTCAAATAAATATTTTACTTAAAACAAAAATTTTATCGATATTATTATACAAAAGACAAAAACTGGAACGTAAAATGAAAGATAAACAAGAGATTAAAATATTTCAAATAATGTTCATTTTTTTTTCTTATTTTGGTTGATCATTAGGTTCATTAGAATCTTTTGATGGATTTTTTAAAAATCGACCACCAACACGTATAAATGGATTATTAAAAGGATTAAATTGTGAATCTTCATTTCCATTTCCATCATTACCACGTGTTAAATGATATAAAACAGTTAGAATTGTAATAAAAATAAATAAAATTGCAAGTATCATATAAATTGTATAACGAGTACGAGACATGGGTGTTCGATTAGTTAAAACACCTTTTCGATTTGTTGGCTGACGAGAACGTAACCATCGAGCAAACCATGTAAATACGCTACGACGTTTATATTTATCTTCAATATCCGAATCATTTTCCACTGGCTAAATAGAATACAAAGAATAGTATAGGTAATAATTTTATTTATGAGATACAGTATATATACGCAACAGCTTGTCTTTTAGATGAAATCTGTTTTTTTTCTGAGGTCTTACTAACAATTAATTATTAATATCCGAAATTTCATTTTATAGATATTAATAATAACTTACTCTTGATGTTGATACTGTTGATCCATGTGCCATATCAATTGTTCGATGAGGAAGATGCAACAGTCTATTTGTTTCTCCATCGTTCATATTGCTATTTGCAGTTGGATGTACAATAACATATCCATTTTTTTCTGTTTCCGTTAATGATTGTTGTTTATCTTGATGATGTATTACTGTTTCATTCGAAGATGCTATAGGCAAATGTGTTGCCCATGATGCAGTTGCTAGTTTTTTTCTAACAAGATCAGCAACAGGCGACACAAGATTTGGAGGTGGAAAAATACATGTATGACATGTTGGGCATGTATATCCATCAGGTGCTGTATGTGATGGAAACGAACGAAAATATTCGTTAAGACATGACCAATGAAATAGATCATAACAAATAAGACGTATAGTTTCTTCATCGGTATCACTTAATGATTTTTGACATAGAGAACAATTTGGATTATAATCATTATCTTGTAACCATGAAACATAGGAACGTACAACACATTGTGGATGTTCATTAACAAGACATGATTCACAAACATTAACATGATGTTTAAAACAAAATAAAGTTGATACTTTGCGTTGTGGACATTTGCAAAGTCCCATAATTCTATCAATTAGAAAAAAAAATAATATAAGTTGTTTGAAGGTTGATTAGACATAGACACATCGTCATTGGATTAAAATTGGTATTTATTGGATCATTAACTAACCAATCAAAAAAATATCTCGAAAAAAAATCTATCATACATAATCATTTTTCTTATGAAAAATTAATTTTCATTATAAATTAAAACTTTTGATAAATTATCCAATGAAATAATTATCACCGACATCTTGTGTTTTATATTATAGATTCGCATTTCTTATACAATCGCATATTACTAAGAAAAAGAAAACATCTGTATGGCTGATGGCTCATCTTCAGTGACTACTACAAATCAACGTACACCAATTAATCCTTCATTACCTATTGAATATCAAATACGCCCACCTAATCTACCAGCTACACGTGAAACACCATTATCTGGTTTATCTGCACCTGTCTATCGTCCACGATCAATCTGGTACGAACTTTGGAAATCTAAATTAGCTTTTATATTATTTTGTACTACATCAACATTTATCTATTTTGATTATCAACGTACACAACGATATAAATTACAAAAAGCTATAAACGCAGCAAGTGAAAAAAAAGAAACAAAACATGGTACTTGAAGTAACTCGTTTTTGGATTAAAGAAGTATGTTTTAAACGTTGGTATATATTTCCATTTATTGGTTATTCATTATTTGTTCAAAAACATGAAAATCTTCGACAAGATTATTTTCGTAATCGAAGTCAATTAGTTGGTGGAATGAAAGAACCAAATTGGTGATTAAAACACTAAATATCAAAATCTATTTTGTTTTCCTTATCCTTTTGTAGTTTTCTTAAAAATAGATTAATCTTTACGACACAGAAAATTTTATTTATATTGTAAACAAAAATAATAGAGTGATAGAATGAAAAAAAGACAAGCAAGGAAAAAAATTATAATGAAAATTATTAAAATCATCGATTGATTTGTATTTGATTGTGTTGATTTTGTTAAAGAAAATAATTTTAATTGAGAAGAAGATTTTAATTTTTGATGTTCATGAAACCAAATATTAAGACGAAATGATTGATGTACAGGTTGATTATTATTAAGATAATTTTCCGCATAACATATATAAATTCCTAGACACAAAATTTCTTTAAATGAAAATATCAGTAGAATGATTACCTCGATTTTGCCAAGTGGCATTATCAATAAGATATCGTCCGTGATGCGTTTTATTTAATAATGTTTTATTTATTTCATTTAATATCCATATAAGTGTATAAACTGCTTTTGGATTTGCATCAAATTCTTCACAATTTATTTCAATTGATGAATAAGCATTAAATGAACGTATGAAATAATAATTACCACGTAAATATGCTTTATATTCAATATTTAATAGATCTATTCGAGTAAAATTAAGCATAACTATTTGTTGTAATTCTTGTTGAATAAGCATACAAGATACAGTTTGATTATGATCATTTCGATTAAGTTCATAATTGAAAATATAAGCTTTATATAGATAAGAATTCGATGATAATGAAAGTAATTCATAAGAATCTGGATCATTATTGTAAATAATCATATACCATGTAGATAAGAATAAAGAACGTGATTGTTCCATGTAAATACGATCAGCATATAGATATATTGAACAAGTAAAATTGATTTGTTGTTCAGCATGATAAGTGGAGTATGGATATATGGAAAGTGAAAGATTTTGTGTAAAAAGAATTACCTGAAAAATAAATTTAACAAAAAATAAATATCGAGATATAATAGATTTTACATGATAGAGATAATGTTTAGAGATATTAATATCAGTTTGAATTTTTAATGTATAAAATCCTTCATCACCAATTAACGTCTGTTCAATAGTAAGTTTTGTTTGATTTATTAGTTTATAACGTGATTGAATTGATACTGAATTCGATATTAATGGTTTTAGATTAGTACTACCTTTATACCAGCTAATTGTTGTCGAACTATTACCATCTCTTAGTTCATTGAATGTATCAACATTGAATATTAATTGACTGCCAAGTATCGATGAAATTGATATAATCGTATTATGATCAGTAATAGCTACATGGTGATGCTTAGCAATAGTCGATTGAAGAATAATGAGTTGAAGAAATATACAACAGCTAAATAGCATTTAACGCGCCTGATATAAGCATTATTAATCAATTGGAATACAGCTATATATAAAATTCCTATTTTTTGTTAAACAAGATGTGTAGGGTCGAAAAAAGTGAGCTCTAAATTTGGAGTTTACGACTTTGTGGTATTTCAACGTTTAACTCCACGTTTTTTTTCTTAAATAACTTCGGTCGATTCAGAGTAACCAAGAGTATTTATATGAGCAATCAGAAACAGACGGTTCAAGTTCTGAGCTGAGATTTTTATTGAAAACTAAACATCCGTAAACTCCAAATTTCGAGCTCACTTTTTTCGATCGATGTGTAGATGTATAAATTACATCGAAAAATGATAAATACGAATCTCAACACATTATTGAATTTTTAATTATATATTTTTCATTATTAAAAATTTAATAAATAAATATTTTTTCAATAAACGGTTTTATTTTCTAATCAAAACTAATAATACATATACTGCAAAAACAAATCAGATCAAATGGTATATTGAATCGATTTAAATTAATAATTTAAATCGATTCCACTTTTTCTTACAAAATAACTTCTTATATATTTTACAATAGATGTCCAGCGAGAATATTGATATATAAATACATTGAAAAGAATAAGTTGTCAGAAGTGTTTTGAAACAAAAAAGTGATTAACGTTTTTTCTTATCACTACTGCCACTACCAATTCGTTCTTCATGTGTATCTCGTCGACCAACATCATGTTTGTGTAAATGACCTTTCTTTTCTTTTTCTTTAATTGCTTCGACTGTATCACGTTGAAGGTTAGTCATATCTTTCTTTAAATCACCTTGTTTAGCAGCATGTTGTTTCTCACCTTTTACTGCTGCTTCTACAATAGAAATATTATTATAATATAAAATACAATTTTTTTTATTATTTCATCTTACCACTATCAGTAGCAACAGTATCTGTCCATTTCTTTTCTCGACCTGATTTTAAATCATCAGCTGCTTTATCTTTAGCTTTTGATTTTGTATGATCACTATCACCTAATCTTGGTACACTTGTATTTAATAGACGAAATGATGTTATTGTTAGAAATCGTTGATTATGTGTAACAGATGAAATAAATCGAGTTAACATTATTTTAGAATATTTCAAATGAATCTAAAAACGTACTGAATGACACCCATTCATTTAGCTACCCAATGAAGAAATATCATTCTTAAATATAGTTTCGCTTCAAACGAATAACAAATGAAGATGGCATTAGTAGTTAGTTAAGTTCTCTCGTTTTTCATCGACTAAAAACTCTTATCAATACAATTAAATGAAGTGTATATATACATTAAATAATAAAAATACATCGAGAGGAAGTATTATCTATGTTGACCAGTTGTTTATATCAAAATTTGTTGTAACTATTTATCATTTATAGTCTTTATCAAAAAAAAAAGAGAAAACGACATCACTACTAGACTTGTCGAGTATATAGACTAGATGAAGAAGAAAGAAAAGAGAAAAAAGAATGCTGCTAAAAGACCAAGCGTAAATATGTGTCACTATCATGGATCTTTACTGCTTCTATCTGTCGTTATTCATGTTTCTTTTTAGATTTTATTCGTTTTTCTTTTTCGCTACTACTATTTTTGTCTTTTTTTTTGCATCACTATACAACGTATTCTCAAGAGATATATTTTTTCATTTGTTACTTTTGATAATCATGAATTAGATTGATTGAAACAAAAACTATGAGTCGAAATCGGTTAGATTATAATAGAATGTAAATCAAAACTCTTAATAATATTTCTTTTGAATATAATAGTTCAAACACTCTTGAATCCAGACAACCATTGGTGTCAAATATTTCATCAAATATCCCACTGATGCCAACTGATAAAAATGATCACAAATCTTTTCTAACACAATCACTGATGAATGTGAATTTAGTACCTGATCGAAGCATTCTTTTACAAGCACTTCCATTGGATTCAAGTAAGAAATACAAAAAAACATGAAATTTATTTTGATAAATTTACTTATCTTTGTAGTTCGTGATACTAGACGAAGTCGAACAGTATGTCAACCGAAAGGAACAATAATGTATACAGTATGAATTCTACTATTTATATTAACTTATTGAGAATAATATAAATGTTGTCTTTTTGTTATAGGTAGATGAAAATGATACATTAGAAAAAGTGGCACTTCGTTTTGATTCAACACCATCTGAATTACTTCAGCTCAATAAACTTAATGCACGTATGCTCTTTCCTGGACAAGTCAGTTTTTATGTTATTGATTGATATTTTTAATTAAATTTATTCTTTATGTTATCTAGACGTTGTATGTACCTGAAAATTGTTCATCAGACGAAACTACTGATCTACAAGAATCAACTACTACTATTTCTTCTTCTCCTCCAGTTTCAACGTTATCTTCGATATCATCAAAAAGAAATAAAGATAGTGAAGCTTTTATTCTTGTTACAGATCGTCGTCATTCAAATACATCTACTCCTTCACCCCGTTCGTCTCTATATTCTGAAACACAATATGATGTTGGTCCAATGGTTTGGTCAATGTCTAAACAATCAGCAGCACGGCCAGGTCGTGTACATCGATTAATAAGTAATCCAAGTACTGAAAATGAATCTTCATCAAAAACAAGTGAAGAAGATTTAAAAACACAAAATGTTGGTAATAATGAACAAGTGAATTTGATACAAGATTTTTTACCAGTAGCTGAACATCATCAATTAGATGATGAATGTTTACAACGTTTTATTAAGGTTACTGTTCGATTAATGACTGAAGATCATGTAAGTACTTACCTTTTTTTCTACACATATTAAATCATGTCATATATTATGAACATAAGAATGATTAATATCTAGAATAAAAATCATGGCTTTTCTTTATTGACATTACACAAAAGATTATGCAAATATTTTTATATAAAACATGATATTGTAAGAAAAACATAAAATAAAAAATTCGTTAAATTGAAAACTATTTCAAGTTGATATAAATGATGTAATATTTTTTCATAATTCTTTTACGTACTTATCAGATATTATAACTTATAAATCCGTACTAGATCAAATATTTAGCCGATTGATTAATAAGAACAAAGAATTAGTTAACAGAATTTAAACATAGAATTAGTTTTCGAAAAATCTGTTAAACTTTATTGTACATGCAAAATTCTATTTTTAGCAAAGTATCGCTGGTACTTTATTAGTTACACCGAATGCAGTCATGTTTGATCCTGATGTTCTCGATCCATTAGTCAAAGAACATGGTATTGATAAATATGGACTGATAATAAGGTAGGTTGAATTATTTCTGTTTTTATTTTATTTTGTCATAACAAATTGATTATTTATACTGATAATAAAAGAAAAACATAATATGAATACTATTGAAAATGAGAAAATTTATGTCCATATCAGAATAAATCTAGACATCATCCCTGTTATTCATAAAGAGGAAACGATTATTATGAAAAATATTCATGTTATTTCAATACACATAATTCACAAGTATAATCTCTATGGAATTGTAATGTGAGACGCGATTGAGTTCCATATTTACAATATCAATGAGGATATGTCATACTCTGTGTCGCTATTGTAAGCCGTGATATAATTCAGTCATTTTTCAACTAGTTCTTTACTAGATACTATAATTGATACGAGTCATTGGGTAGATTTTGAATGTTTTCATAGTTGAGTATTGATTAAAATACAATTGAGATAAAATAATTTTATTTCTTCTATTCAATATTTAGAATGAATCTTCTCGCTGGTATTGCTTTATATGATGATCTAGCTATCTATGAACATAAAGCAACTTCTCGGTAAATACTTTTTTTTCTATATATTTATATTTTTCTCAATCAGTGACGAAGAAAAACGAAAAATGTGTCATTCAACAAGTGTAAAACATGCGCATTATTGTTCAACAAACAAAACATTGAACTCAGATGAAGAAGAGATTCAACAATTAATGTCATCATTATTAGACCAAATCGATAAAGAATTCAATCCTTCCGCATCAGATGATACATGTTGTATGTTATTTAATGCAGCAACATCAACAATTCAACGTCATTTATCAAAAGATTCAACAGAGAACAGTTATAATGATGATGATGATGACGATGATGATGATCCTACATATCTTCCAACAGAAATAATTGATAATTCATTACAATATTCCAATGATTTATTTCAAGCACTTGATGATTATAAACATTCTATTGGAATTTTATCTGATGATAAAAATGTAAATAAAAATTTTAATCGAGTACCATCACGTATGCTATTTATTTTATCTAAAATTAAGAAATATTTTTTTTTGTCTAAAAATATCTCTTAAGAAATTTCCTATGGCTTCGATTGGAAACGATTTAGACGTGCTGTAAAAATAAAGAGTAAATATATTATATTACTATTATTTTCTTTAACAGAATTATTTATTATAGAAGGATGTCATTTGGAAAATTGTGTACCAGTTGATGAATTTAATAAACGTTTTGGTGAAATCGATAGTAAAATATTCTTCTTTATTTATATTAATTAGAAAAAAAACTTGATTTCGTTTTTTTTATAGAATTATTACATCAACAACAACAGATTTTATGTGCACCACGACCAATTGAAATTCCCTATTATTTATGTATAAAAACAAGTGAACCTGCATGTGAAAAACCATCATTATATGCAAGACAATATAGAAAGGATACTGAAAAATTGATAGATAATGCTTATGGAAAAAAACAACTTGAACAAGAATATTGGTTTTTAATTCCAAAAGAAAAGTATGATATTAATCATATATAGACATGAACATTTCATACACATTGACTGATATATTTATCATAATGAAGTTACTATAGTATCAATATTCGGATAATCTGAGACAGGTAGTACTTTAAACGAGTATCCTATTGCAAAAATGCTATCGCTCTATCTAGATGAACGGCTTATAATCGTCTTTCAAGATTAGTGTCAAGGTATAGATCATAAAGAAAATTATTAAATTTATTTCTTGAATATATGAACTTTTTCATTATGAAGGAAAGATTTTTCTAGGTTAGATTATTTTAAAATAGCGATTAGTTGATTTAATGATAGCTTTAATAATTATATAGTATTATTATAAACGACAAACAACAACTGACCTCGAAAATATAGTCATTGCCTTATTTTCAGCATATTCTAGAATAAAACTTGTAATTCCGATTTTTTCAACAATATGTCTTAATTTTGTAATGAAGATGGAGTCTAGACAAGTAGATGCAAAAACTACGATTAGAAATGTTTCGTCTGTCACTACATTTATTTGACATTGAATTACACTCAAAAAATTGTTGCTCTAAATGATAATTATAATCACAAAAGAATAAAGATGTACATCTGTTACATAATAAATTTCTATTAAGTTTATTATAAACATGATCTATTTCACATGCTGTTAACTCCTGTGTTTTCACGGAGTTGAAAATGATACTATTAATAATTATCTACATTGATGATTTTTAAGTACTTTACAGTAGATGTAATTCATTTCCAGTTAATAGGCATGTGAGATTTCTGTAAATAATATGCGGAAGTATTTCAACTGTCATGTTATATCTAGGCATTTATAAATAATTTCAATAATAGTTTTGCTCTTTGAACTCAAGAACCTATTGCTGTAATTCATGACAAAATAAAAAAATGATTTTGTATTTTTAGAATTGATGAATTATATGTGTTTTTTCTTCGTTGGACTCCTGAACATGAATCAAATCCATTAACAGATGAAGATCAACAACCACCTAACCTTGAACAATTAAAACAAAATGATAAATCTGGAAATAAAGGTTTTGTTTTATTAGCTAATGATGATCCTGAATTAAATGATAATAATTCAAAATCGAAAAATCAAAAAAAATCTCCTAAACAAAAAAAACCACATTACTTATCACGACAAAATACATTACTGAGAGAATGGGAGGTAAGATAAAAATCATAAACGTAAATCTATCTAGTAGAAAAAGAAAAGCCAATTCTTTCTAATAAATCAAATATAAACAGTAGACATGTCCAGAGGTGCAGAATCTTCCCAAAAATCAAAAATTTCCCTCCCCGCACGAGGAAGTTCTGCACCTCTGGACATATCTGAACTTATTTTCTTAATAATTATATAGTCAAAAGAAAAAACGAAATAGATTTTTGTTATTCAAATACAGTAAATTTTATAAAAAAACTAAAATAGTATGTCATATGTTAATCTAAATATCTATTTATTCGATGACATTTTAATCATTGAAACTATTATATTTGATAAATATTATTTAAAAAAAGGATTTTTTTATTATTCTTATCTTTGTGATTTATATATTCATTGACATATGTGTTCGTGTAATTCATAGTTTCTATCTAACGGAAATGGACTTCTGAAATAATTAATATTTTATTAAAAGATCTATTGAAAAAAGAAAAATGCTAAATAAATCTGAGTAGTTGATAGCTGTTGAATATCTAAGAATAATTCAATTATTAATTATATTAGAATACGTCATAAGACTAGTAATCAACAACACAATACTTAGATTGAGAGTCATCGATTGTTTGGATGTTTTATTTTTTTTGTATAAATTAAGGTTTTATATGATATATCGATGAACGTGCTTTTCATATGATAAGCTGATGGGTAATAAGAAAAAATGTAGAACAGTACGAATAGTTTATTGATTGAAGGATTAGAATATGTTTGAGTGTGTAATATTATCCATGAACAAAAAATAATACAAAAGAATAATGTGAATCTTTATTTACAATGTCTATACCGTCTGTTGAATATATATTTCTTTAAATTATAAACGATTTATGAATTGATTATAGGTAATAGTTCGATATTGAAGTAAAATAAGGTATCGGATTCATATTTTTATGTTCTGTTTTTTTTCTCTCTTTTTTTTTCTTCTCGATATAATTATATATATATCCTCTGATGTTAAAGTATGTCAATAGAAGACGGGACAAAAGGATAAAGAATAACATACACGCAACTATCAGGACTGGTAAAAACATAGACAGAATGAAAGACAGAGAGCGAGAAAGAATATTTGAACTTCTTCTCTTTCTGTCTCTCTCTCCATCGCTCGCTCACTATTTCTAGTCGTGGTACTCCATAACTAATTTAGTTTAACAAAAAAATTAGAAATTAAAGTATGATTCGTGCTTTGTCTACTGCATCATCAAACATTTCATGTTCATTCGATGAACATCCATCACCATCACCATCGCCATCACCATCGTCTGAAACACATCGTTTTACTCTTCATTCATTAGTATCACGTTTATCGGATTCGAAAAACAATCTTCTCGAACAAATTCCTCATCATCAACGACGATTAACACGTTTGAAAAAACGTACAAAAAGTTTTCTATCATCAACATTAAATGATCGTATCATAATTAGACATTCATCTTCATGTGATAGACAAAATTCTTCTGATGATGGGGTACATAAAACTAGAATATTTTTTTTCTTGAAATTTTATAGACAATGAACAAAAAAATTATATTATTTTATTTGTTTAGATCGTTAGTCTTGATGAAATTTATCGACGAAATCATGCAACACATCCAGATGATATAAATTCTTATGATATTGATGGTATTCCAGCGCCTAAACTTTTACAAACATCAATACTTATTAACGAAGAACTATCAAAACAAGTAAATCATTTTTTCGACAATAAAATTTAATATATTTTTTTTTGTATTTTAGATTTTACGTGAATTACCACCTCGTCTTCATAGTCATGATTGGTATATGATATTTAGTACAGAAGAAAATGGATTTAGTTTAAGTACATTATATCGACGATCATTCGAAATTGATCATGATTCACCATCATTAATTATTATAAAAGATGTTGAACAAAATGTAAAAAAATAAATATTCTAAAATAAAATTTTTCTTTTTTCTTATTTTTCAGGTATTTGGAGCTTTTGTACCACATCAATTACTAATCAGTGAAGGATTTTATGGTACCGGAGAATCATTTCTGTTTACATTACATCCTGAATTTCGGGTAAGCATATAGAATAACACAATTGTCTATAGAATGAAATGGAACATGTGCGTGTCAAGAGATGTACGATTAATTTATCCTAATTGATATTTTTGTTTCTACAACAAGTCCTCTTCCGTTTTAAGGTCATGTCTAACATATTATTTTGTGTATAGAATTTGTTGAAGTTACTCACAACCTGTTTTGACATGCTCATTTTAGAAAATAGTATTGCAGGTCAAATAGATTTATTATATTTTTGACAGAAACTAATTATGTGTTGTTTATTAGATGTTAATCCCTTAGGATAATTTTAGCAAACGACATTGATATTCTAATTTTAGGTATTTAACTGGTCTGGTAGTAATGAATTTTTTGTTAAAGGTGATGTTAATTCACTTGGATTTGGAATTGGAGAGTAGGTGTTTATATTTAAAAAAACATTTTTTTAATAAGATTTTTTTCATATTATTTTAGAGGTACATATGCCTTATGGCTTGACGCTGATTTATATCATGGTCGTAGTTGCGCAACTAAAACATTTAATAATGACAGATTATCATTGAATGAAGATTTTATAATTGCAAGTATTGAAGTTTGGACATTTACTGGTTGATTATTATTCTTCTGTTAATTGTCTGTTAATACATATATATATATATATAACAATGAACCTGATCATGATAGAAACAGTATTTCAGTCGCTCTTTTTCTTTCTTTTTTTTAAATTATATACTTGCTTGCATTGCTTTCTTTTTTTTATTTTTAATTAATTCTTCTCTATTATCTAAACGACACGAAGATAGTACACACGTACATACATACATATATATATATATAAATATAATTATTTATGAAGAAAACTTTTTCAGTCATTTGATTTTTACTGTAATATTTCAAAATAAAAACAAAAAAAATTCTGCAATGATGAACAAATTATTTATTATCTATTTTTTAAAAAAATTCATGTCTAGACATATGATTATCTTTTTTTTAACTTGGAAAAGAAAATGATAAATAACAATTATATTATAAATTAACAAAATTACTTTAGAATATTCAGGAAAAATTTCTATCTTGAAATTTATATTGAGGAAAAAAGTTCTCTTCTATTTTTAATTCTCATTAGTAAAACAATTATGCATTTTATTTATTACAAAAGAATATAAGTAATAATTAAAAAGCTATGACGATCTTTATATTCTCTTTGTTTTTGTCTCCTGTAAATGAATAATATATAAGCTCAACAAAATAATAATGATGATGATGATGAAAAAACTTATTATGTATGCTGAATCAATTTTCTACATAATTTATTAATCAGCTTTATTTCTAATATAAAGTCTCTATAAATAGTTTGAAAATATGTAGATTAATAAAATATGATTACAAAAATCAAGTAGCTTAGTATATATGAAAATTTTGATAAATTAAAAATAGTTATTATAAAATTGTGTACCTACATGACATTGCTATGATTATAAAGATTATTCAGAGGTGCAATATTTCCCGCTTACTTCTTCCTATTCAATTTTATCTATGTTTACTAACTCAATAAATTCCAATCATAAAATTTCACAATATTATCTTTCAATTAATAATAATCATACATTTCCTATATATTCGTCATTAACAAGTTTATCATCGGTTTCATCGTCTCTACTTACGCAATCGAGGAATAAATTGAAAGTTTGTAGTACAATATGATAATTAGAATTTTATTTACTAATAAATAGGCAACTAAAAATCGAAAGATTTGTAAACGAATAGATTCATTTTCTTCTTTATCTACAACATCTATTTCTCCATCGATAACTATCGTTCTTCATACAAAGAAAACAAAATCCTTTATTAAAGATCGTTCACGAAATTATAAGAAAAGTAATAGTTCATCATCAATTTCATTACATCAAAAGAATATTACTAAAGAACAAGTATTAACTTTATTCTAATTTAAAAAATAATATCCCTATATTCTAGAAAGGATTAAATACAGCTCAACATGTTTTATCTCCTCGATATAACAATAAAAATATCATATCACGAAGTAATTTCTTTTATCAAATATCATCTCGAATTAATAAAATGGTCTATTTCAGAAGAATCATATCGAATATTTGAAGAAGAACAAACTAGATCATTCCATAGTCATAGTATATCGGATTTAAATAACATCATTCTAACGAAAATCAATAATAACGAAAGTAATTTGTTTTGTTACTAGATTTACAATGAAAAATTTTATAAAATTTTAGTTCAATTATCAACTGTAAGCACTCAAACAGATAACCATTCATCGATTCATATAGAATATCAATACGAAAATTTACGACGTGTGAATAGTAATTTATTAGATTATATGTTTATTCCAACCTCAAATACCAATCGTTATTTATCTTGATGTTATATAAAATTTTGTTTTCTCTAAAATAAATTTAACTAAGTCAGAAAAGACAATGGCCTATCGACAGCTGATATATTTGTACTTTCTCCTAATATCGAGAGAACGGAAAAAGAGAAAAGAAGTAAGACACATTTTACTACATAAACATCTATATAATAGATCACGTTTGTTATACATTAGCTCATATATACATATAAATACCGCTATCTCTTCGTCAGTTGTACCGAAGAAAGACAACAATAACAATGCGTTCGATAGAACATATTATTTCAACTGATTGCCCTTACTATGAAAAAGAAAATTATTACATACAACAAACAGAAAAAGATTTTCAACGCATAAGCAAACTTGGTGGAGGTATAATTTAGTTTTTAATTTCCTTTACTATTTAAAAAAAAACACAATAAATTTATTTTATTTAAGGTACGTACGGAGATGTATTTCTTGTTCGTCATCAAATAACCGGTAAATTATATGCACTTAAACAAATTCGAGATGAACATGAAGCGAATGGAATACCCGCGACAGCCATGCGTGAAGCAGCTATACTAAAGCAACTTAATCATCCAAATATAGTTAAATTACATGATGTTTTTTTAACTGATGAACGATGTTATTTTTTACTTGAATATATGAATGAAGATTTAAAACGTTATTTAGATCGAAATCGACCATTAGAACGAAAAATAATTAAAGTAGGAACTTAAAAATATGATTTAATACATTTTTATTTATTCGTTTTTAGAGTTTTACGCATCAATTATTAGAAGCAATATTTTATTGTCATAGACATCGTATTATTCATCGAGATATAAAACCACATAATATTTTAGTTAATAATGAAGGACGAGTTAAAATGTGTGATTTCGGTATGAACATTTTTTTTGAAAATTTGTCTTTTTCTATTTTTATATTTAGGTCTTGCGCGTGCTTTCACTATTCCAATGAAGATTTATACACATGAAATTGTTACATTATGGTATCGTGCACCTGAAATTTTACTTGGATCATTAAACTATGGAACACCTGGTTAGAAGAAAAAAATTGATAAAATATTTGAAAAATTATATTTTTATTCTATTTTAGTTGATATGTGGGCCATAGGTTGTATATTTGGTGAAATGTATCAAGGTTGGCCTTTATTTCATGGTGATTCGGAGATTGATCAAATCTTTCAAATATTTAAGTAAAACAACAAAAAAATGAATTCTTTTTGTTTAATTAACTAATTAAATTCGAATTTAAATAGATTACTGGGTACACCGAGTGAGGATAATTGGCCAAATATATTCTTATTACCACAATTTAAATCATCTTTTCCAAAATTTAAAATGCAAGAAACTAAATTAAGAGAAATTATGGATAATGATGAAATAGCCTATGATTTACTTAAAGTAATAGAAAAAAGCGAAAATAAATAAATGATTTATCTTCTTGATTTTTTAGAAATTATTAACATGTGACCCAACAATACGTGGTGCAGCTCGATTCGCTATACGACATGAGTATTTTAATGAACATGATTCAAAGAAAGGATTACTACCGATAACAAATACAAAATCTAATCGAATTCAATATGATGAAAATAATAATATTATTGAAAATACCGATAAATAAACGATAATATTTTTTTTGTTCTAGTTATAGTTTAATGTTCGTTCATTTTTCTTGTTCCACTCTGTGTACATATGTGTCGTTTAAATTATTTTATAGGATAGTTATTTTAGGAGAATGTATGTTCAAATAAAAGTGACAAAATCTATATATATTTTCATTCAAAGGTCAATTACTATTAAAAATGTCAAGCTGTTTTTTTGATCTATAATAGAATTTTTTATTTATTACCCATTCTTACGGAATAATTACGTCAACAAAGATTGGTAGATAAAAATATGTTAAAATTCATTTCAATTGCCATTATTCTATTCTATATAGTTTTAACTAGTGACAACTTTCGCCATCTGTTGAATTTTCTATTACTGGTTAGAAATTATCTTCCAATTATTTACATAGATTCTCATAGTGTGTGTGATCCTTTTACGTTTACTAAGTCTTATCATTAACTTGTAGGTGTGCTAGGAGTGCCAAATTTCTTTTGTGCCTTCTTATCTATATTTTTATTCTTTACTTTTTCCTTTTTTTGTTTATTACTTATTTCGAATCTAACATTACTTAGATGCTACATCGAAAACAATGACACATAATATACCAGACAATCGAGATCTTTCTTGTTATCATGTAACTAAACATTCATGGCGTGGAAAATATAAACGTATATTTTCCATTGGTACACATGGAATTAGTACATATGAACCATCGACACTTGGTCTTACGAATGCATGGCCATATGATCAAGTTGTATCAATGACATTATCAAAATCATCGAATGCACCTGATAAATCTCAACAAACAATATCGAATTCCTCACCGATAGCTGAGTTTACTTTAACATTTCGAACAAAATCAAAAAAAGCTGATACAATGCGTTTTTCAAGTGAATATCGTTCTGATATTGTAACTGATGCATTACGTTTTCAAACATTATTTAATCATCAAACACCCCTAAGTCCACCAAAAGTTATACAAGCAACAAAAATTCATTGGTCATCTCAACGTATTCCAGTTCTTTTACGTATACAATCATATTGTATTGAACAAATTGATGGTAATTCCAATCGTTATTTATGTTCATATGATTATAAAGATATTGATCAATTAATTCCTTTAACAAGTGAAGGCGATACAACAGTACGTGGATTTATTATACAAGATAAACATTATGCACGTTTACATACATTTGTTACACCAGATACTCAAACATTATTTCAAAATATAGTTGATTTAGCTCATACAAATGTTGGTGTACAAGTACGTTTATCAAAAAAATCTTTTACACTTAATGATTATCAACAATTACGTTTTGGCCCAACATATGGGACTGATGAATATTTAACATCATTTGCAGAATTCATCGTCTATAAACATTCATCGAGACATACGGAAAATGTTCGACGATTACTTTGTTTAACAGAAACATGTTTAATTGAACGTGATCCAGCTACATATCATATATGTACATTAAAACCATTAAATGAAATATTTGCACTTGTAAGACATAAAGATTCTTTACAAGAATTTACTGTTGAATATATACGAAATAATCCAACAAGAGCTAGATGTAAATATACATCAACTGAACGTGATATTTTATTAGCAACACTTTTGGATAGTGTACGTTCATCTGGAAATAATGATTGTTGTGTTAAAACAAATCCATCGGATAGAGGAAAACGTTTTGCACCATTTGGACATTTAGTTGATGATGAAGTTGAAATACAACATTTGAAATTTTTAGTACAACCACCAACAGGTTAATAGAAAAAATATTTTTTTTTTGGAAATATTTGAAATTTTTCTGTTTTTAAAGGTCGACTTTCTTCTCCACAAGATGCAGCAAATGCGGCAGCATCTCTAGCAAATATTTCATTTAATGAAATTCTTAAACGATTCAACGCAAATGTACCATATAGTGGCCTTATTAATGCTGTTACCTCAGAAGGTATGATAAAATTTTAATATTCTTTATTTTTTTAAAAGACAAGTAATTTATATAATGGATGTTGATTCCTAGTCGTTTCTGTTTAATGAGAATATATATGGTTCTTCATCTTGAGTAGTTTCTTATTAAGTTTGAGTGTTTCTCTTATATCTGAAATGTTCCGTAGTAATATTATCTTATTCATATATGTTGTCTATAATTCAAAAAAATATTAACACCCAAGTTTGTCAGTATAGGACTAAAAATTATATAATTAATTAAATTCTTTGTATATATATACAAGTAGTAATCTGTCGTATTTGCACTAAAGTAACAGAATCAAAGCTTAATTGTATAAACTAGATTTACTCAATTATAGTTTGAAATTGTTAGTATCATATAGATAAAATAGATACAAAGAAGAATTAGTTTAAATATCAATTTTTCATCAAATGATCTGTTAATATATCTAATCTATCTATAGTCTTCTACTACTCTTTAACAACACAAGCATCGATAAATACGAGATAATCTGGTTATTCCTTAAACCTTTTTCACTGCATGAACGTATATCTACAGTAGATGGATAAGAACTTTTGAAGCGGAACAATCTTATATGAATTATGTGTACATTAGGAGTCTGTATGTTGACATTCCTCGATGAGTTTTAATTTTGAATTTTCAGAATTAGTGGTAGAAAAGAGAGAGTTAGAATAATTGCAATATGTACAACTCCATTGCTTAATAGTTTCCGTCTACAAGTTATAAAATGATTTCATCTGTATTATCAAATACTATCAAGTAGTTTTTTTCTTTCATTAGTGCACACTACACAGATGTATTTATCTATATGAACTTTTATATTCACTTCGTTCGTCACCTCTATTGTTTAGTATTATAGAACTGGTAAACATCTGTTGCTCTAGTTTCTTCTTGCTTAACTCTTTTCTTCATCACTTATGGTGTATATTTTTATATTTCTTTATACTTAACTAAGGAGTTGAATAGGTCTGATCTCAAAGTTCACACAAAATAAATGAGAAAACTTTTCAAAGAGATCATATTCCAATTCCTATATATAGTAACATATTATGTTCTAAATTTGAATGATGTAATTAATAAATAAATCTATTATAATAATGATAAAAATTTCTTTTTTCAAGGTCTTTTTGCTGAAAAAAAAGAAAAATTAATACACCAAGCTTTAAATGCTTTACTTGATAATGATACAACGAATACAGTTGTTGATCATGAATTTATCGAAGATCAATACCTTGCCTTACGCCGTTTATTAGCATCGAAAGCTGGATTTCAAGCATTTACACAATTACCTAAATTCCGCGAACGTATTGGAACAAAAATAGTTCGTTCATTAAAATTAAATGATGATCAAGTGACATACTCAGCGTTAGAAATGTTGAATACATTATTACAACCAATGCATTTAGATTATGATTTACGTCAAGAACAACAAAATAAAGCAAGTATATTATCATCAAAAAAGTTTCTTGAAGGTCTATTAGATATTTTTCTAAAACATGTTAAACAAAATACGGGTTCATTAATAATATCATCATTTTTGGATTTCTTGACATATACTTTATGTCCACCCTTTTCGGAAACAACAGGTAAAGAAAAAAAACAGACAAAATAAATCAAACATATATTTTATTAAATTAATTTATAGATGGACAACATTTTGATGTTCTTCTTGAATTAGTATCTTCAAATGGCAGAATATTTTTTAAATTATTTCAACATTCATCCTTTACAATTGTTAAAGGTGCCGGATCAATTATGAAAGCAATTATCGAAGAAGGTTCATCAGATATTGCTGCACATATGCAAGATTTAGCACTAAGTGAAGGTGCTTTGCCTATTCATCTCTTGCGAGCTTTATTTACTTTATCCAGTGATACACGATTATTACCATTAAAATATCTTAGTCAACAATTACTTGGTTTATGGTCAACTGGACATCCGACAACATATGGATTATTAAAAAGAATATTTCCACTTGGACTTATTGCTTATTTAGATTCAAACGAAGAACCTGACAAAGATTTTGGTAAGTGACACATGTGTTATTAATAGAGATCTGCAAAGCGTTCACGTGTAGCCGATTCTGTATACTTTAAAAAATAATATCACGGGAAAATCGAAGAATTTTTTACGGTGTTTTTTCAATAAAATTGAAGTTTATGGTCAGCTGCTGACGACTTTAGTGCTTAGGATATATTTTTCCGAAGAGTTTATTAGTCTTCTCGTGACAGAGACTCCGATTAGAGGGATGGAGGTCTAGTCCCCCGCAAAATTCGAAAAGCTGTCTCTCTTTCTGCCAAAATTTTAGAAGTTTTTCTGAAAACTTGGTCAGAAACCTGGTATTTATGCTATTTTTCCGCCAGAAACTCCAATAAAAAACATTTTTTTCGGGCACAATTTCGCAGAAAGTGTATAGCTTAAGTATTTTCTACGTTATATGCGTCAGAAAGCTATATGACGGCACTTTCTGCCAAATTTTATCCCCCCGCACTTTTGAAAACAATCGCGAACCCTGTCTTGTGATAATGACCCTGCATATCTCTAGTCCTTAATCAGGTATCAACTTGTCAGAAAAACGATTTTAAGTTAATATATATATGTATCTTTTCTCTAGACGAATCAGCACTTCTTGGTCGTGATACTCTTCGTGTAGCAACTGAGCAACATGCTAATACTAATAAATCCAATGCTCTATCAACATCAATAATAAATACTGCAAATAAATTTCGTAATGCAACACAAGTTAAAGTTCTTGAAAATCATGTTCAAAATGCTTTTCAACATTGGAGTTTAAAATTAAAACAAAATAATAAATATTTTGCTTCATCTGATAGTACAAATTCAAGTGGTGGAAATTTAACAAATAATTTAAATGATAAGCAACAACCAGTTGTTTTACGTAAACCACGTCAACGTATACGTGCAGAAAAAAACTGGCGTTTATTTTATCAAAAATTTGCTACGGATCATGTTCGACCAACATTAATATGGAATCATAAAACACGTGATGAATTACGGGAAACAATTGAAAATGAAA